ACCGCGGAATTCGACATTTTTACGTCTTGTCGTGATTCTCAAGAGATGATAATCCATTTTATATACCAATTATAGCAGAAGGAAAAATCTAAGTACAACTACAACTGTTATTAATATTTAATTCATGTAAGTTGTGATGAATTGTGTTATATATATATATATACATATTCATTTAACTGAATGAGAAAATGCAGTGTAAAACAGAAAAACTACATACAGGCTTTCCATTCACCTGGCATCCTCAAATATACCGTATTTCATTTAAAATCATTTATAATATCTACTTCTCTATACATGAAATGAAAACATTTCGATATACATGTTATTTTAATCTGTTTTTTCATGTGAACAAATATTTTCTATGAAAATCATAAGTGGACTATTTTATACGGCATGCAACACTACCAATTTTTAACTTAAACTTGAAACTTCTTTGTCAAATGTGACAGTACAATTAAATGACGGATGACAAAGACAATGGCACGAATATGTGCGCTAAATGTGCATAATTCAATCAGAATGAATATTCAATGCATAGTCAAACGTTTTCAATCTAACCCAGATTGTCAAAAAAAACTGTCCGTGGGGACTTGCTGAATAGCACCGAAAGAATGTGTGGTTGATATGACAAGTAAGTTAAGGGGTAACTTTGAGTTGAAAGTGGAGAACAGCCTGGTCAATACCATTTGAAATGAGCTAGTTTTGATTCAAAACTATGCCGTAGGGATTTGAGGAGGATTTCTGAATGTGTAGTTGACATGGAAAATACGTAAAGTTGCAGCTTTGAACCCTGTTGTGAGTAGAAGGGCCCGGATCCAAGGAAGATATTTACGTGAGCGATGGCCTGGGTCAATACCTTTAAAATGAGCTGGGTCTTGTTCAGAACCACTACAAACCAGTAAAAGTCTGAAATGGCCTATATCTATACTCGACTGTACTGGTTTTTACTCGACCAGTCTGAATTGGTCTGAATTTTACTCGACATTACTCGACCCTAGTCTTAACCATACTCGACTGTACTGATTTGTACTTGACCCTTATCTTTGTAATTGAAAATAGTCTGAACTATTACTCGACCAGTCTGAAACAGTCTTAACCCATTCTCGACCTGTACTCGACCTATTTTTTTCAGTCTAAACCATACTCGACCAAAGGTCTGAACAATACTCGACCAGTCTGAACCATACTTGACCAAATAACCTCTACTTTTTCTAAATTGTAACTGTTAAAACTGACATGACAACAGCGACATTAAAATAAAGATATATTATAAAAACAGATTTTTACATTCTTACATGATTCTCAGATTTATCTAATAGAGATAGTTAAATCAAATTATCTTATATAATAATTTAATTATATTAATTTTATAGTTTTAGAGTTTTGTTAAAAAAGATTTTCTTTTACCTAAAAACCACACCTATACTGAAGGTAATTAAACCTTATTAAGGTGCTTCTTGTTTCGCATGTGTTTTTTTTTTAAATTGATTTTCCTAAATTCCTAAATAAAAACTACATAGGTTTCATGGTTACATACAAAAAATGTACAATAGTTATATAATTATCTTTTTAATGAGGTAACAACAGCCAACAAAATCACTGAAATTGTTTAACCTTATTTTAGAAACATATCTATTATTATAATTTGGGATATATTATATACAATATATATCAAAAAGGGATAGAAATTAAAAAAAAAAAAAATTGATCTTCTGATTAGTGGTGAAGTATAAAGTAATACCTCCTGCTTGGGGCAAACTCATGAAAAAGATCACACCTGGTCAGAGAGTATAAAATTCTTAATAACATTCATTCAAAATTGCAACATCCTGTGAAACTTAAATCGCAAGGCCTTTTGAATTCACTAGATAAGTAATACACGAGTTTAAGAAAAATAGGGCTTTCTTTTTACCTGTAAAACACACATGTACTGAGGTAATTAAACCTTATTAAAGTGCTTCTTGTATGCCATGTCTTTAATTTTGACAAAATTTATTTAAATTTAATTGAAATAATTTTTTACTGTAGCTTTGGAACACATTTCCTTTTTCAAAAGTTTATCACAGGATTACTATTGAAGTTCTATTATCATGATTATATTAAATTCTTGGTTTAACAAAACAAAGGTGTCATTTTTTAAATTTATTAAGTTGCTTTATATGCTATTTTATATATATTTTAATAAAAAAAATGTTCACTGCATTATTAACTAATAATATAATAATTTAATTATATTAATTTTATAGTTTTAGAGTTTTGTTAAAAAAGATTTTCTTTTACCTAAAAACCACACCTATACTGAGGGTAATTAAACCTTATTAAGGTGCTTCTTGTTTCGCATGTGTTTTTTTTTTAAATTAATTTTCCTAAATTCCTAAATAAAAACTACATAGGTTTCATGGTTACATACAAAAAATGTACAATAGTTATATAATTATCTTTTTAATGAGGTAACAACAGCCAACAAAATCACTGAAATTGTTTAACCTTATTTTAGAAACATATCTATTATTATAATTTGGGATATATTATATACAATATATATCAAAAAGGGATAGAAATTAAAAAAAATAATAAAATTGATCTTCTGATTAGTGGTGAAGTATAAAGTAATACCTCCTGCTTGGGGCAAACTCATGAAAAAGATCACACCTCAACTGACACCAGAAATCTATACGAGGCTTAAGTTAATGGAGAAAATTGTCCAGTAACCATAAAATATATCTGAAACATTAAAAAATTTTGAATAACATTGAAAATATTAGTCACAATTCAGTTTTGAGATTATTTGATCAGCTTGTTTTATTTTTATTTTAAAGGTGATATATATGTATGTATATAAGTGTTGATGAATATGGTGATGAAGTTATATTATGTTCATTATGAAATTTTGGTTTCAATGCTATATTGAATATTTTTTAATTTCAAATTGTTGTTCAAATTTCTAGCCAGGGGATATAGCTGTTGTTAAAAACAGTTCCTAAATTGATGAAATACAATAGATAGATACAAAAAAGAGGTCGAGTATGGTTCAGACTAGGTCGAGTATGGTTCAGACTAGGTCGAGCATGGTTCAGACGCGTATAAAATGGTTAAGTACTGGTCGAGTAAGGGTCGAGTACAAGTTCAGACTGTTAAGTATGGTTCAGACTACAGTCGAGGATTATCAAGTATATTTCAGACCAATTCAGACTGGTCGAGTAAAAATCAGTACAGTCGAGTATAGATATAGGCCATTTCAGACTTTTACTAGTTTGTAGTGAACTTTGCCGTAAGGACTTGACGAGGAGTACCGAATGTGTGGTTGATATGAATAGTATGTTAAGGGGCAACTTTGAAACCCTGTGGTGGCCAGTCGTGCCCTGATTGTTTTATTAAACAAATAAGTGTCCTCTGAAAAAAATTGGTTGCTGGCATCATTGGTATATAAAAGTGATTGTCATCTTTTGCGAATCATGACAAGACGTGAAAATGTCGAATTCCGATGTCAAAGAATTATATTTAACTAAAATTTTGAGATTTTTGGAACGTTTGAGTGTTTAATGTTTTTTGTTGGATTTTAGACATATCATTAAAATTGGCTGCTGGGAAAAGTGACTGCCAGTTTGAGTCTGGTGAATATTGATAGGGTTGGTTGTGCTAAATCTTGAGTTTTTTTAAGTAATGATTTTGGATTGTGACATTTCTCATCGTCTTTTTTGCCTATGATCTTGTTTGTGCTTTTTCGACTCATGGTTTTTATCATCCCTCATATTTTCAGTATCTCGTCATTTCTTTTATTCATTTGCATATCTGACAAAGACGGTCTCGTACACATTGGTTAACGTCAAAGTTTATTTTAGAGTCCTCTGCACAGTCCGCGTTTTAGCTACAAAATATCCATTTTTATTAAAGACAACGGGTAGAAAAAAAAATAACTTACCGTTTTAAAAAACGTCAAGCTTTAATTGCTTGATAAAAACAATATACAAACATTGTCTTAAAATATTATAAAAATCGCTTTTTACCCTGTTTCTAAAGCTCGTTAAAATAAATTTTGTATTTCCCTATAATGTAATTATATGAAAACCAACGTTGTGACCCCAAAAACAGTAGTGGTATTCATTTTTTTAATTTTCTTAGATTTAAAACATAGCACAACAAACCAAATTTTAAAGTTAAGTTATTAAGTTATAAAGCAAAAATTAAAACAAAACAAAAAACTAATATTAAGCGTTATGAATTGGATGGTGCATGTATAGTACTGCTCTGTCGACGCATCTAATTTTACTCCGCTATGAATTGGATGGTGCATGTATAATACTGCTCTGTCGACGCAACTAGTTTTACTCCTCTATGAACTGGATGGTGCATGTATAATACTGCTCTGTCGACGTATCTAGTTTTACTCCGTTTAGTGTAAATGCCATTCCTATTCCGATTATTTCTGCTAAAAAAGGCTAATGATACCAAAGGGAGAATCTAAACTAAAAATGTCGAAAAAAGACCGATAGAATCGTGACAAAAAAAAACGAAAAACGACGAAAAGACAAACAACAGTCTACAAACACAATATAGAAAACTAAAAACTAAGCAAATTTTGAATATGCATGATGCATAATACAAATCAGATCTGACTTTGTCCAATGAGGCTAGTGGTGTTTGAAGACAAACCAGATCTGTCCAATTAGGCTAGTGGTGTTTGAAGACAAACCAGATCTGACTTTGTCCAATGAGGCTAGTTGTGTTTGAAGACAATTTTCATGAACTTACTCCCAAACTTATATTATGTCATATTTTGTATTGTTTATTTTGTTCAGTTCCTGTAAACACGTCCTCAAACATTCTTTTTATGTTGTCCAGTTCCTGTAAACACTGTTTATTTTGTCCAGTTCCTGTAAACACGTTCTCAAACATTCTCTTTATTTTGTTCAGTTCCTGTAAACACGTTCTCAAACATTCTGTTTATTTTGTCCAGTTCCTGTAAACACGTTCTCAAACATTCTCTTTATTTTGTCCAGTTCCTGTCAACCTTATCCGATTACCACAAAATTTACTGGAAGGAACTGTTGAAGTATTTTACAACGGACAGATAGGTACAATTTGTTATCATGGGGTCGGACATAGAGAAGTCAATGTTCTTTGTAAAATGCTTGGACATAAGTGAGTAAAAAGTTCTTTTGTTATAAGGTTGGTAAAGTTCACTTAATAAGCGTTATTATCAGGTATTCAGTTATGACAATCATATGAATATGCATATTCAAATGTATAAGATATAAAAGAATGTTTTAGAAGCACCAAAACTATTTTTTTATCAAAAATGTTTTACCCTAAATTGCATTGGAAATGCAAAACTTTCCATGCTTCAGCGTGTTTATCATTTTGATATTTAGAGATTTGTTTACTACTAAAGGTACGGACGAAAGTATATTCAAATATAATTGAAAGTTTTCCCAAAAATGAAAAAATGTAAAGACCTTTATTGTTAATATGAATATTTAAATCAACTTTATGAATTTTGCACAAAAATACAAACAAACAAGGCCTTCTGCTGTTGTCTGTTCTGTGGTCGGGTTGTTGTCTCTTTGACACATTCCCCATTTCCATTCTCAATTTTAAACTTTGTTACAATTACCAAGACGAAGATAGAATGCTTTAATTTGTATATTTTAATTGTATACATATTATGTGTTGCAGCAGTATGAGGAATAAAATTGAGAATGGAAATGGGGAATGTGTCAAAGAGACAACAACCCGACCAAAGAGCAGAAAACAAACAAAGGCCACGAATGGGTCTTCAACACAGCGAGAAAATCCCGCACCCGGAGGCGGGCTTCAGCTGTCCCCTTAACAAAATGTGTACTAGTTCAATGAAAATGGACGTGTACACACCACACCTGCTCCCCGGTTTATCGAGCCTCATGTCCGTTGATATAAAGGGACGGATATTTGATATTCGAGGGAGCAGGAGAATTTCTTTCCGGATTGACTATTTATTTTTATCTGTTACTACGCATGCTTATTTTTTCCGCTTTCACTTTTGTTCACAATTTTGTGTTTCAGATTATTTATTTTCATCCTGTCTTTGGCAAAATAATTTATTTTCAGCTATCACAGAGTATTTTTCATCGATAAACCGATTAAACAGATCATTGCGATAATTATCATTTATCTTATAAATCAAATAAATCATTATTTGCTACGAATCTTATCGACATTCGATGCATCTTTTTGCACTTCACACGCTGCTCAAATTCTTCAAGAAGACTATAGAGGTTTTATTTTTTCAGCTTTGGTGGCGTTAAATTCAATCCAGATTTCAAACATTTATTCTTGAGAGAGCTTATACAAAATCTGAAATGTCCTGAAAATGCTACACATCTCGAACAGTGTTCACACGAGGCGTGGGGAGAGCAATGTACATCCTGTCAGTGTGATGGGTTTTATTCAGTGTTAGCAGTCAGATGTTGGACAAAAGCAGAAATAGGTTTGAGAAAATCGTTTGTACGACAGAAATTTTTAATAAATCTTATTATATATATAAAAAAAACCATAAAATGTGTGTTTTACCTGAAAACTTCTGAATAAAGATCATGTGGGGTATATGTAATGAGTCATAAACACAAATACAACATGTCAAGTTCTGAATCGTCCCCAGTCAAGAAAAGTTTTGTGTCCAATTTCGCTTTATATATTTGTTCCACCAAGACATGTCCTCCCAATAATATGAGGATCTGTATGGGGATTAAAGAATAAAGTATAATTGGCCAAACATAGAGAATAGAGAAAGGCCAAATACTAAAGAAAAGAGAATAACGGGGTGCTAAAATATACAAAAAAAAAAGAAAGAATAATGGGCCCAAGATAAAGAATAGAGAAAAATAGCAAAAAAATTAAAGAATACAAAATTAAGGACCCCATTCAGACCCTCATAACATCATCCAAAATGTTTCACCTGTTGCTCATTAGTTCGATAAAAGTATGTTTCGCTGTGTTCATTTCTGGGTTCATCGTCTACAGAAACGCTCATAGTAAAACGTTGCAACAGCCAATGAGCGCTGTATGATGAGCTATGTAAACAAAAAGGGACTAAAGCAAAGGCTAAAAAAGACTCATAAATAATTCCAGGCTAATAAGTTAGCATGTCAGACGCGCGTTAGGAAATTTGAATGATATAGATTGCATTACAAAAAAGAAAAAACTCTTGAAATTATAATACATGTATGATCTTTATAAAATTTAACAACAAATATCTCACAAGACCCCAGTCGGAGAGATTTAAAAAAAAAAATGATTTCATATATTTCAGTTGCACCAATGTTTTAATTGAGTTGAAACGATAAAATCTCTCCTTCATTTTGTATTTGTCACCATTATATTGGACCCTGCCTGGTCTTTACACATATCTTTATTTAATCATTAAGATTCAACATTAAAAAGCATCAATGTTACTGTTATTTTGTTTGAACAAGTAAGTGTGCTGCTACATGTGTCATAACGTGAAAATTGTACCGAACAAGAATTCTGATAAACATGTTCATATCTATACCGAATTACAAGTACATTATACATATATATGTAGGACTCTAAAGTGAGATGGGGACGCTAAAGTACGATGGTCACGCTAAAGTGCGATGCCTCCATACCCTAAAGTTTGATGGTCCGCGAAAGTATAGACGTAAGAAACGTAGTTGAATTATGACGTTAACATTCGTTTTTACAAACCAAAAATGAACAACTTTTAAACCAAATGTCCATGACTTAATTTCAAACCTAACCGTGCTTTGTCGGCTGAAGCAAATGTGGTTTTTTTTTCGGGTGCTGGAAGAAGGACTTGTGTCCTGCAGTCCATCATTTAACTATATAGATACAAAATAGTATACGCATAAGTATCCTGTATCCTGCTTCTATTGGAAACGAACGGATACATATAAATCATTGTTTATGTAACTTGCAGTTTACTTTGCGGTCCCCGTTAAAATATTGTCGATTTTATTGATAAGTAACGTCGGTAAAATAAAGGTACATGTTTTCATGCGTAAATTATAAGTTGTCGGCTATTAGTTTGTACATTGTAGGAAAATATAACATGGATTTGTACTCGCTACGAAAAAGGAGAAAGCTCGGAGAACATCGCCTTTCTCTCTCATTTAAATCAAAGCTTAAACAAATAAATGTTACATATTCCGACAATGAACGAATTTTTTATTTGTAATTTACAATGACGACTGTAAGGGGAGGTGTTCACATTAGTGATAGACTGTGTGAACGGTAAGCTACACCAATTATCCAAATATTTAATACGCCCGAATTGTTAAAAAATCATTTAAAGGAAATATAGTATTTTGTGACACCTACATTACCTTTTTAGCAATTATTACGTGGTCGGTCTTCTAAATTTAGAAACAATCACTTAAGCCTACCGGTACTTATTTTAACATCCATGTACTTTAATGTTTTAAGCCCTCGAACCTTACCCTATTGTTCCATCGCACTTAAGCGTGCTATACCATTGTACTTTAGCAAACAAGCAACCATCGCACTTTAGCGTGAGACAACATCGTACTTTAGCGTAGACCATCGCACTTTAGCGTGACCATCGCACTTTAGAGTACCATCGCACTTTAGAGTCCTACATATATGTATATGTTGTGTACAAGTTATCATTTTGTACAAATTATAATTTGTCCAAAAAAATTGTACAAATTATAATTTGTATTTTGACTTTGTACAAATTGTAATTTGTACAAAAAGTGCTTGTACAAATTACAATTTGTACAAAATTTGACTAAAATGCACTTACAACTTGTACTATAATTTATAGTATGAATTTTGGTATAAAAAAAAGAGTTGATACACACTATAGCATGTTTATTCAATGACCACACAATAAACCTTATTTACAAAATACAAAAATACCCAGATGGAGACAGGAAATGTAAATGATACATGCATGTCATTTAATTCTGATAGTACAATAGAAATTGGCCTCAGTGACAATTCTGATAGAATAATAAAAAAAGGCCCAGTGACATTTCTGATAGTATAATAGAAATTGGCCGTAGTGAGAATTCTGATAGTATAATAGAAATTGGCCTCAGTGACAACCAGGATGACACTGACGTTGAAACACCAATCATATGTGCCAGGAAGCGTGCACTGTCTGGCCAAAAGATCCAAGCCGAATATCTAACCAAGAAAACGGAACGTAAATTATCAGAACTTGCTATGGGGAATAATGCCATTATACCAATTCCTCAGTTTGGTCGTGCCCCAACTGATCCTAGAAATATCTTAGGTGTAATTATTGAATCTGGGGAATTTGGGTACCGCATTGGAACAGCTATAGGAATTTTAACAGGATATTTGTTGAGAAATTAAATTGAAGCTGTTAAAGACACATCTGTATTCGTAGCAACGGTTCCTGAGCTTCAACTTTCGCTACATGAATCAGTTAAACGGCTTTCAAAAACTGGTGGTCAGGGTCCGTCAGGGGTTTCTTTCATGTAAATGCACAGGGGGGGGGGGGGGGGGGTACAGCACTTCTAAATGTATATGTGAAAAGCAAAAGATGTGCAATTTCCGATGCCATAATTCACTCACATGCTCAAACAAATGATACAGAACTATTTTTTTATTTTGTAAATAAGGTTTCAAAAACTGCTGGTCAGGGTCCGTCAGGGGTTTCTTTCATATAAATGCAAAGTGGGGTGCAACACTTCTAAATGTAAATGTGAAAAGCAAAAGATGTTGTGCAATTCCCGATGCCATAATTCACTCACATGCTCAAACAAATGATACATAACTATTTTTGTATTATGTAAATAAGGTTTATTGTGTGGTTATTTAATAAAAATTCTATAGTGTGTATCAATAACAAAATATCCATACTAAATTATTGTACAAGTTAGAAGTGAATTTTAGTCAAATTTTGTACAAATTGTAATTTGAACAAGTACTTTTTGTACAAATTACAATTTGTACAAAGTCAAAATACAAATTATAATTTGTACAATTCTTCTGAACAAATTATAATTTGTACAAAATGATAACTTGTACACAACATATATATATTATAGGTTATTTATTTTTACGTATATTAAGGATATCCTATAAATAAGCTACACAACTTCAAACGTTTAAGGAACTACAACACAAATGACCTGAACAGAGAGTTCAGAAATATTTTATAAAAAGGTTTCCAATATACCATTCGTCTCATTATTTTAGAGAACTCACATGCAAGTGTACGACTAGCAGCTTCTAATGTTGAGCATGAAGGACGGATTGAGGTAAAACACAACAACACATGGGGCACTGTGTCACCAAAAAGTTTCGGATATGAAGAGGCGGATGTAATGTGCAGGATGCTGGGATATAGGTTAGTGTAAATTCCCTAAACAATTGTATAATTAAGAATGATCTAATGACCAATTCAGCATCAGTAAGAAAAAGATTTTGTTCGACGAAGAGTTTGTACATTTGTTGTTTATTTTAATGTTAGTTAAGAAATGATATCCATAATAAAAAGATACTAGTCTAATGAATTAATATTGCAAACAAAAATAATAGTGCAAATGTTTATGAACAATTCTCGGCTCCACTGTATAGAATATTTTTCGTGATTTATCATTTATATTTTCATTATACTTTATGTTAGCCACTGTCACATGTAGCAAGCAGTTCTTTATTGTATTTACATAATGTATCGACATGCACACATACTCACGGAAAGTTGTAGTGTGTTTGTAATTAGTGAAAGTGTGAGATGTGTCCAGTATATTCTTTTTGTTTAATTCATACGAATGTAAAATCAAATAAAATATGGATTAGTCTTGTATATATTATTTAATGTTTACCTCTAAAAACCACTGTCAAGTAGTAATCGTTGGGGGATTGTAAACTCCTGATTATTGAACAACAAATGTAAGATTTTAAAATGGCGTTATGGGATATCATTAAATCAAGTTTTGAACAATGGTGGCGGGCAACATGACTTACGTGGATATATTTCGTAATCAGATTGATTATTTCTGGTCCAAACATTTTACAAAAGTAGAAATATAAAGGTGTTCCCAGACCTTTTTTTTGTTTCATTATTCATATTACACTGCATTTAAAATCAATATATGCTTTGGCTGAAATTTTATGATACAAAAATGTAGCAGACAATTTCAAAAAGTTAATCAGTAAAGGTCATAGGTCGGAAAAAATACTAGGAAAATAAACAGGAAGAAAATAGTCGTGTTCTTTTCAGTACCTTAAAATTGTCTTTGGAAATAAAACTCACCTAACAATCTATTAAAATTCTATATGAAAAAGTAAGACATTTGAATACTTCACACTATGTTTTCAATTTTTTGTGGTTGTCGATAACACCTATAGCTACTACTGTTTAAGTAAATCCATAGTGTTCTTTTTATCGTTAATTCAATTGTATTTTGTTGTAAGAACTAAATTAATATTTTATAGATTTATAGGATTAAAAAAATGTTAACAGGGTACTCCCAATTGTTATGTTTGCTGTTTTGTATTCAAATAAACGACAAAAAGTGTTCGCTGATCTCGTTTTTCACTTTTTTTCAGTTATTCGGAAACCTCTAGATTTATCCATGTCGTGCCATTAACTTTGTCCGAAAAACCCTGACTTTTCTTTTCATAATTTTAAATAAAGATTACATATAGTTTAAAAGACATTTTTGAAAATCTTAAAAAGCCTTGTTAATTTTTTTTTTTTAAAGTTTTTGAAAGAAAAAAGGTGCCAATGTTAAATGTATGAAAAATCTAGAGAGACTCATTTCCCGCCAAATTTTCTTGTCCTTTTGTCCCGCTGACTTGTTGACATTCTGAACCAAAATATATATTAATTTATGTCTTTTTGACCCGATAACCTTTTTAATCTGTTCTCGATAGTAAATAAGCGTTTAATTTTGAAAGAACGGAAAGTTTGGACGGCGCAGTAATTTGTGTTGCCTCGGCGCATCAATAGAAAAAAAAATTGACGGAACTACATAAACGTATACTATACTTGGGCCCGATTCCGATAGTAGAGGTTGCATTAAATTTTCCTACCTGTTTGTCCGTCCGTCCGTTAGTCCCGTATTAGGTTAAAATTTCGGTTTATGGTATAGGATCATGAAGTTGAGCTGACCTCAACTTGAAACCTTATAACACATGTTCATTATAATGTGAACTTTCTAAAAAAGGCTTTGTCTCTGGTTACGTTGTAAACCGAACACGGAAATGTGAAAGTGCGAGCAGGGCCCTGTGACATATTCTCGGTTATTTCTTTGTTTTTATTTTATTTCTTTGCTTTAGATATCTAACGTCTCCAAAAGTTTAAATAATATTCAAAGCGTGTGGTTTTCTATTATTATCATTATTTTTACATGTATCATGAATATTATTTTTTATCCTTATAGATTTAGTCATTCTTTATACTTTGAAATACCAAATTTTTGTCATTAGAAACATTGAGAGTCACGTGATAATAGTAATAATAATAATTATGATTATTGCTGTCGTTGTTGTTGTTAGGTTAAATATGTAGGAAAGTGGGACTTCTAAAATGATCTATATAGACCTAGATATAGAATTTAACTTTAAATAGGACTGAATTCTTAATCTTGAAATTTTGTATATATCTGAAGATATTTCGGAACAATAAAATAAAATATTATTGCCCTGCAAATAGATATGAGAATGTGTCAACCTTCAACATTTGTCATCTAGAACCAGCCTTGTCATGAGTGTACAACATGTAATATCTGATTTTTTGTTGGATAAGTTAAAAGTACAAACAACGTATACTTTTAGTAATTTCCGATAATCTGAGACGAAACTCTCTCAGTGATTATCACTTTATCTTCAAAATGTTGAAAGTCTTCAATAAAATAATATCAGGACAGAATATAACGTCGACTTGCATACTAAAATAAACGAGACTAATGTTCTATATTTAAAGATATGGTGGAACTCCAAAGTTGGACAAATTTCCACCGGGACAAGGTCCAATCTGGATTGATGAGATTCATTGTCCTTTTAAGGCATATAATATGAGCGACTGTACATTCACATGGGGTCCTTACGGTAATTTTGATCACAAAGATTATGCTGGTGTAAAATGCAGAACAGAACCAGAACCAGGTAAATTATCTTCTGAGGACTATTGTTGACTAAGGACTATTGTTGACTAAGAACTATTGTTTTAACTGACGACTATTGTTGACTAAGGACTATTGTTGACTGAGGACTATTGTTGACTAAGGACTATTATTGACTGAGGACTTTTGTTGACTAAGGACTATTATTGACTGAGGACTTTTGGTGACTAAGGAATATTGTTGACTGAAGACTATTGTTGACTAAGGACTATTGTTGACTGAGGACTATTGTTGACTGGGGACTATTGTTGACTAAGGACTATTGTTGACTGAAGACTATTGTTAACTAAGGACTATTGTTGACTGAGGACTATTGTTAACTGAGGACTATTGTTGACTAAGGACTATTGTTGACTGAGGACTATTGTTGACTGAGGACTATTGTTGACTAAGGATTATTGTTGACTGATGACTATTGTCAATGAACTTTTTTTCCCCGGCCCAAATAACATATTAACAATTATAGACAATCATTAAGAATTGTGCTTTAGAAGCAATGAACAGAAAATAAATAGTTTTTCTCATTCACTCATTAAAACGGATTGAAACAGTTTCCACACAAGGAATTCTACTATTAGAAATATTGGACCAAGACTGAGAGTATAAATTGATGACACAAATTACCCTCAAACGTTTGACAGAGAACATCACTTTTTTACTGTCTTTCATCGCAATGTTACAGTAGGAATAAAAGCTCACACCTCACTGGAAGTTTAAGACAGCCCCTAGCACCAGTTTGAGCGGAAGACTTTTCTAGACAACTCAAACTGTTGTACATTGAGATACATATAAACAAATTACAGACTAAAATTGGGAAATACGTCTCAAATAACGTCTCACAAATACTGTAGTAATTTGCCCGACATCTCATTGTAGAAAACATAAACAAAACAAACATTACATCTGTATTTACTACGATGCACATCAATATACTCGTTAGATAACCTGCAAGGAAATACTGTTTCAATCGGACAAATAGTACTAGTACAAATGGACCAAAGAAAAAGCTCGATATGAGCACCAATCGAAAGAAAAAAGTGAAGTTATTTCAAGAATAAATATGCTACATGAACAAGTGTAAAAGATTATATAAAAATATACCTCTAGTACGGGGAAGCTTAAGTTTCGTCGGCCTCAAAACAAACGACAGATTTAAAAAAAAAATGACTAAAACACATGGTTTTTGTTGTGATCCGTGCCTATCATAAGTCAAGCCAATTTAAGATAATGATGTGATGTCACACATTCTTTATGTGTCTATTCCAAGTCACGAGCCTGTAGTTCATTTGTATGGTTGGTTGCTGTCTGCCTGGTTTGTTTTTTCGTTTGTTGTTCTTTGGCCTTAATCAGGACGTTGGTTTTCTCTTGAATCGTTTCACATTTTGTCAGAGCTTATTATACGGAATGGGTTCACTCAATGTTTTGGGCCATACGATGACTAATTTTAGTTTTTAACTTTCTCGTCATTACGTCATTTATATTTATAGTCGTCTCATTAACAATCCTTATTTTTGTACTAATTTGAACACATAAATCTCTCAAACCTCGTTTTTCTTGATATTATTCATCTCAAAATCACAGTTTACTCAACGAGCTAGTTTGATCTTTGATGTTATTCCTAGCCAACCATGGCCCTAGCAATATGGTAATACTGCGGTTTTATAATATTTCATCGGTACATACTTGGGCAATGGACAAAGAAGATACACACTTGAATTATCAGGATCTGCTTAATACCCTTCCGAAGCACCTGCCACCACCCCGGGTTTTGATGGAGTTCATGTTGCGTAGCGTAGTCTTTAGTTTTTCTATGTAGTGTGTAATAGAGTGTTGTTTTTTCTCGTTTTTTTTTTGTCATGATTTTGTCGGTTTATTTTCATCTGATGAATTTTGATTGTCCTTTGATAATCTCTACCATTTTTGTGTTCTTCTGATAATTTTATAATAAAATTATTTGTGTATTTATTTGTTTAGACCCAGAAACAAAGTTTAGATTAATAGGACCCAAGAGTGCAGAAGGGGAAGGTAGATTGGAGTACTTTAAATATGGACATTGGGGAACAGTATGCAAGGCTTACATGGGGACATCCGAAGCTTCGGCATTCTGTCATCTGCTTGGATATAGGTATGCTTTAGAGGTTACACATTAATATGTACCACTGACCTTGTTTAAGTAAGATGGCGTAAAGGCTACAAGTCTATCATTCTAAATCATAATGTTATTTAGGCAATACATTTAAATATGCATGCGTCAATAAAATAACTTCAAATTTTGAATATAGAACAAACAAAATCACAAAACACTTTGGGGAAAACTGTTTGCAAAATAAATTCACTGCAAAAAAAACCCATTGAATTCACTGATATGTACTCTTGTTTTTGAAATATGATAACAAATGACACTATTAAGCTATATATCTGTATGAATAACCATATTCATGATAGGATTTCGATCTCTATTATCCAAACAACAATGTTTTCTGAATATTTTAATTTTATTTGTCCGTTTTCCCTTTCGTCCTATCTGTGATATTTCATTTATATATTTTTCCTTATCGTTATTTACTTATTCATCTTATCATTTTTTTTACATATACTGAAATTGATTTAAATCAACAGAACGTATTTTGACGAGAAAAATTTTGAGTCACCCCAATCCTGAAAAAAAACCTTCAAATAAGAATACATAATTATAACCTATTACAGTCAAAGGGAATGAAAATCAGAAGTTGACAATATACGAACCGGACGAATCAGAACTAGAAAAAAATCTAATACCGTACGGTTGCTATGATTGCTTACATCTACTTCATTTGAACTCTGGTGGACAGTTGTCTCATTGGCAATCATACAACATCTCTTTATTTCTATATAGTCAGCAATATCATCAGTATTTTTCGTATATCATATTTTAATGTTTATGTTAATAACAGATCTTTAATTGTTTCTTTTAAATATTAATGAGCATCATTTTAGACTCGGAACGATGAAGAGCTAAGCCTTGACTGAAACTGTCTTTTTTGCAGATTTATTTTCATCTTTGGGTTTGTCTTTGTCTTATTGACTTGTACCAACAACTCCACGATCCATCAAACCGGATCTATGTTTTAACACGTTATAACGCATATGAACACTGGAATATTAAACAAATACATTATGCATACTATTTCTCATTAAAACTAGAAATACTATCTGATTTAAATGCGATATCAGTCGTATTGCTACATGTAATGATAAAGAAAATATTTGTCAAAATTTGTAAACTTATCACGGAGCGCGCAGAAAAAATGGGTAAACGTTCCACGGATCACGCATATTTGTATGCGAGTTTACGAATATAACTGACATAATTAGTTAAAATCCAATCTAAACCTACAAACCTACTAATTAAATTTTGCTGAATGCCAAAATGTCTATCCTAATTCAGGACCTTTGTCAGTGAACGGTTATTTGCTTCTCCCAAGTCAGTCTGACACCTCGTCAATGATTGGTCAAAGTGCCTGATCCAAGTCAGGAACATCGCGTCACTATGATTGGTTAACATGCCTTTCCTTGGTCGGGTATCTCGTTAGCAATTGGAATTGTTTCTTCATTTCGAAATTAAGGTCTGTTGGAAAATCTTCTGAAGAGTGCATTCCTTCCTTGTAAAGACTATGTGTTATACGATTGAGACGCGTGTTTAGACTAGAAATCCATAAGAACTAGAATAGTATATACATGGGCTTATTTAAAATTAACTGTTTAGTTGGAATGCTTGTCTTGAATGGGTCGTATTTAGAATTAGTCATTCAGATTATTCTCTATCGTTGAAACTGAAAATTGATGCTTAGATGTTCTTTATTGTTATCAATTAATGTCTCAGTCATTAATTAGGAAGCTGGAGTAATCAGATAGACCCTCCGACCGTCTACAGAAAAACTGGCAATCCTAGTAAATTAATTTACTTTTCCAAGAGCGGGATTCGATCACACAACCTCAATTTCAGCAGGCTAATGATAACCGTAGAAGAAATACTTAGCTATAGGCCATCGAGGCCATTTCCACACAAAGAAGGAATAAATACAAGTTCCTCTTCTCTTTTATATTTACAGTAGTATGTTTTTGATTATATTATTATCTTTTTTCCAGGAATGGTGGTTATATCTTACAAAATCAAGATACTAGGAATGCATACAAGTTTTATGGACCACCTTTGATGGAATATTTGGACTGTCCTTGGAACACAACTGATATTGAAACATGCCAGACGCGGAACTCGGCGTATAAAGATTTCCGAGAAACATGTGATGCACATACCAATGATGCAGCGCTAAAATGTAGAACTGATAAGTTCCCTGGTGAGAAAATTATATCCCGTTAGATTTCATTGCGATCACCTTCCCTCCCTCTGTTCGTCAACACACATTTCAGTCACACTATTCTCAGAAATAATTTCATATTTGGTTATAATGATGAGTTGTTACACGTGAGCACTTTTCGGATCTGTCAGATACCTACTTCCTGTTGCCAACACTTTGATTTTAAATGTTCTGAATAAACTAAAGTTGTTCATCACATTTTTCTTAAAAACTGCTCAACAGAATGGTTTAATATTTGGTTAGCCAATCAATAGTGATGAACTGTAACGCATTTGCGCTTTCTATTGGACCTGTCCGACATCTACGTCCTGTTTCCGATACCTTGAATTTACGGGTGAGCTCACCACGACAACGCATGCATTCTTGTTGAATTTAATATCTATTTTTGTTGATGGAAGGAACTTGTTCCAAATATCGTAGTCACCTTCCCGTCCGTCCTCTTTTCCTTAATTGTGATATCCCTGTGGTATTTAATATCGAGTTTTTACTGACAACTAGCAACATGACAGGTGCAACGTGCTGAGTAGGATCTTCGCTTACCCTCCCTGAGCACCTGGAATCACCGTCGGTTTCAGATGAGGATATGTGTTGTTCAGTCTTTAATCTCCTATGTAGTGTTTGTAGGCTGTTTTTTGTCTTTCATTTTTTGCCATGATTTTGTCGATCTTGTTTTGACTTATGCGTCTTGGTTCTCTCCCTTTGGTATCTACCCTCTCCTTTTTAAAATAAAAAAAAAGATATTACTATTCTCATTCAATTTGAATCATCTTTTGTGTTAATACCATTTTATTATATGGTGCATGGTTAATTTAGTATTGTAAAACAGTATAGTTTCATTTAGCCTATTGGTGTTTTATAAGGTTGTTCATAACACTACAAGGAGATTACTTTTTAAAAATCAGCTGAACGCTTATATAACGTTCTATTGTTAAAGAAATATTTTAAAAGCTTCTTAATGATAAAAAAAACTGTTATACATCCACATCTTGAAACAAGGGGGTTACTATTCAGCCCCTTCCTCTCCACCCTTGGCTTGCGACGACGAACCATCCAATGCAGTTTTTCCATTTGTTTGATTTTTTTAAAAATTTTTGTCAAAGGGTCAAAGTAAATATTTTGTCGAAATCTTATGAAAATTAAACGAGCCAAATTAATTTTAGTCAAGGTGTTCGGTACCACCTTTTAAGAAAATTATACGTTTTGCAGTCATATTTAAAGTATGAATATATCTTCACATTGTTTATTTTCATACTACTTCAACTTTATTTTGCGTTGAAAAAACATTTCCCAATGAAGCAAAAATCTTATACTTTGTGCACAAGGAAATCATATCATATTTTTTGTACATATGCAATTGGCATTTCAGTCAATTTTTTTTAACCGACATTAAAACTGTTATGATACATGTTTTTGCGATCATAATTCTTATACGCCAGCAGCAGAGTCAATTATGACTGAGTCTGAATTCACATGGCGATTGATGCATGCATACATGTAGCAGCAAATGCTTATCATGTTTAGCAACCGGTATGGTTTCGGTGTACAATTATTCAACTTTCTTATGTTTTTTTTCTTTTTGTTGGTATATTCTAAATGGATTTACGAGTTGATAATATCGCTACTTTTCATTTGCTTTGTATCTTAAAAAAAATTGATGTATACTTGGCTTTAGTTTGCATTTGGTACTGTTCTGTCCATAGAATTAACTTTGTATTCTTTTCACTATAAACGTTTTACATTGGCAAACACTTTTAAAAGAGAATACTTCTTATATGATTTGCATATTAGTGAATACGTTAATATGATTGGTCGAGAGGGCTTCCTGTAGTAGATCTTGGCGTTGTTTATTTTTCGATAGACGACGTTGACAGAACTACTTTTTGTTACCAATGTTAACAAGATGGCGGCTATAATAAATCAAACCGGCTCGACGTTAAATATATTTATTTTCATTTCGGGTTCATCGTCATATTAAATTATAAACACAAAACATTTATTGGAAAGAAAATATGATATTTTTTTAGTTTATTTTTTCAGATAGAAAATTTCCTGTAGCATATTTTTTGGCGTTAACAAAAAAAATATATTCATGCGCCAGGTACATTCAATACCACAAATTTACAATTCACGTGTTATAGAGGTTACGAGTGGAGAAATAAAATTCCTTATCTCCATATCTAAGGAATTATAAGGATTAAACGCATTTTTAAAGGGATTTATTGGTGTATTAACTTGACCAAAGTCACTCATAAACATGTCATAAAAGTCCTTTAAAAAGTCGTTTAATCCTATAATAAAACAAACCACGAAAGCCGTCTATCTTCCGTATGCATATAATGTATTACTATATAAGTTTTCGACATTCAAATATTCTTCCAAATTGTGAGACCACTAATGATTTATTATTTAATAGCACATGAATTAATGAAGAAATAGTTCACTGAACTTTGAATGTATCTATTTAAAAGTTTAAACTATGCAATAGTTTATAGTGGTGTAGGTATGCATTTGACGATGAGATTTGTACTACTAATGATTTATTGACACCAAAAGAATTTGTTTGCGCTGGCCTTCAGGACCATTGTCCATTTTATAATTTTGTACTATGAGTTTGGTATAGCTGATCCCCTTTGAAAACTATTGTTAGTTACAAAAAACCGCAATATAACATTGTTGGTACCGTTACTTAAAATGTTAAACATGTAATAAGAACAATCTGACCGAAACAGTGTGAAGGACAAACAAAATTAACTTAGGGACCGGTCATTATTTATCTCCAGGGGGGCCGGCAAAATGTAAATTTGAAATGATAAAAATTGATTGACCCCCTTTTCAAAATGTGTTAAAAAATTTAACCCCCCTCCCCCTCTTTCAATTACATAAAAACTTTTGACCCCCCTCTTTTTTCTGATTATAATTGAAAGGTTTCAAATGATTCAATTATTATATGTTGCTAATATTCCTAATAAGGTATTTTAATACACATACACAGAGAATGCATTGAGGACGACATCTGATAGAAGAATACACTGATGTAAGGGACCTTTCAATATTTACCAGATGGATGGGCCGGTGCATTCTTAATATTATTTCATTAAAAAAGTTAATGCCCATCCTTTTAAATTCTGCAAAAATGTCCTTGCCCATCTAAAAAAAACTATAAAAAGAATCCTTGCCCCTCTAAAACTTAAAGACAATCAAAAATGATTTAGGTTCTTTTTCTATTTGAATATTTGCATGTTTATGTCTGGAAATCAAAGAATAGACTTTGGTGTAAAATACAAAATTCAAAATGTGCTAGTTTATTCCACACATATATATATATTTATGTGTGTATCAGAAACATACATTTTATTAATTTTAAAACCAGTATGAATATACATGTATAGATTTGATTTTATATGTGCAGCCTCAAATATATACAATATCACAATTAAATCTCAAGACATAAGTAAAAGCATACTATATCAGCCAGCCTTTCATAGAGGCGTAAGAAGTGCTAACAATATTCATGCAAGTCATAAAACATATGAAGAAATATTAACCATACTATTAAATGTACTTAGTTTATATTTTTCTGAAATCTGAGGTCATCTTAAATTTGAAACAGTTTAATGTATCTCTTCTTACTTCTTTGTTCTATTAAATAATTGAGGGTGACCACTTTTTCCCCCTTTTGTGACCATAGGACATAAAGATTTATTCAAACTATTGTAAACAATCAAAAAAATATTAACTAACTATCCAATTTGTATACAATTTTCAAAATACCATATTAATTTAAAATAAAGAGATATTTAAATTAAGGGACAATAACTCTTAAGACTAGTAAACATATTACCATATGCTGAATTACCAATTATTGTCTTAATAATAGGACATTCTTATATTTCAAATATACAATGTCCCTTTATCTATTCTACTTTTCAAGAAAGAAATTATGGTCATTTTAAAGCAATTTAGGCAGACATGTTTTTGACTTTGATGCAGCTTTTTTAACCTTTTTATTAAATCCCAAAGGCGGATTTAGGGGGGGGGGGGCAGGGGTCCAGGGCCCCCCTTTTAGTGGGAAAAATTTAGTTGCTTATATAGGAAATCACTTGAGCTATAAAAAAATCAAAGTTAATGATTTGAAACTTTATACCAAATTTTAAAGATGACTATCTGAATTTAGTCTAAATTGAACATTTAAGCTTTTTTTAACCTATTTTTTAAATCCATCAAAATGACAGCAATACACCAAAACTACCAAACAACCTGGCATTCTGTAAGATCAACATATAAATGAGATAGCTGTAGAGTTATATGAAAATCTAAGTTGATTTGAAAATGTTATACAATTTTTTAAAGATGACTATCTGGTATTAACCTAAACTAAAAATTTAAGCTTTTTTTTAACCTATTTATTAAATCCATAAAAATGACAGCAACACACTAAACTCCCAAACAACCTGGCATTCTGTAAGATCAATATATGAATGAGATAGGTGTAGAGTTTTATGAAAATTCAAGTTGAATTGAAAAAGTTATACAACATTTTAAAGGTGACTATCTGAATTTAGCCTAAACTGAAAATTTTAGATTTTTTTTCTTACTAATTAATAAAATCCATAAATATGTCAGCAATACACAAAACTGACAAACAATCTTGTATTCTATAAGGTCAAAATACAATTGATATGAAAATCCAAGTGGTTTCGAAAATTTATATAAACTTTTAAAAGTGACTATCTGAAATTTAAGTCCGAATAGAAAATTCTAGCTTTTGTATTCTTTAATTAAATCCTTAAAATTGACAGAAATTAACCAGGCTACCAGTTTGTTGAGACCATGTCTTTTATGTTTTGTGTTCCTGCAAAAGAAATTTCCTACACGCCGATAAAATTGATAGCAAATTTTTTCCTATAAAATAAGTCTGGCCCATCCACTATACATGTAAAAAAAATCATTCATATATTTATTTATAGTGGAAATCTATATGAGGTATATTTAAGATATGGAATAAAAATAAAAATAAAATGCTTTGAAAATGTCTTTATAGAATTTTTTTTTTGTACACATAAAACAACAGTTTGTAAAATATATGAGTTCATCTTGAAAAATAAAAATGGTGTCACCTTCAAAAAGTCTACTTTTGCTGTGGTGAAGCCAGGATGATGAAACCAATTTTATAGTCTCTATTCCTAGTTTCTTAGTTTTATAACATCATGGCTAAGAAAAACATAAGAAAAGTGACTTATTTTGCACATTTTTTGGTAATATTCATTAGTCTCTTGACAATAAAATTAGTCAAAGAGTAAAGTGACTAGCTCTAGGTAGATCACTGATAGTGACAGTTTGATATTTGTGAAAGAGTCAAACTAGGAGACAAGTTAGCTCTGACTATACATGTATAGTCTATGGTCATGGCACATTGTATATGACGATCAATGAATCTATGGCCAATAAAATCATGACCCCCCCTACTAGATCAATCCTGAAAAAGAATGACCCCCCTCTATCAGATTCAATTTTTTTCATGACCCCCCCTACTTTTTTGCCGGCCCCCCCTGGAGATAAATAATGACCGGTCCCTTACCAAATGTCATCTTTTCGATTCTCTTTAGAATTATTTTATATCATCTCATTCTCTATGTGGTGTTTTGTGTACTTTGATTGTCATTTGTACGTTCTTTCTATTTTTGCCAAGGCAGTGTCAGTTTGTTTTCGACTTATGAGTTTGAATATCCCGTTGGTATCTTTCGCCTCTCATTTATAAATCATTTTATTTTATCATCAAACATGCTTTCGCCGTTATTCCAACATATAGAATTTGGGAAAAATAAAATTAAAATATTCTGAAAACTCTGAAAAGTAAAACCTGAAAAAAAAATTGACATTATAATTAATTCATCACCCAACTTTAAAACGTGTGATAATTATCGCTTGCGTCATTAAAAAAAGGCCTGCAAATTTTAGTTATAAGAAAACTTTTCACAACGATTTTATTGAAAAGAGATGCTTCCAAATTTTATAAAGAAGAATATATGATGCAATTTAAATATATTTGATAACATTTGAAAGCATGAATTTCAGTATTACTAAAACAGAAACACAGAAGGTTGGTTTAAAACCAGAACTTGCAATCCATTTTCTAAGCTTGCTAGACACATTGTTGGCACTAATCTACATAGGTAAAGAACCACATGAGCATGGCAGGCACTTTGATTACTGAAATGGCAAAACATTAACAACGACAAGTAGTTATATTATGCCGTAACTTATTACTTCAAGCAAAACCTACTTTGTTTCCCGAAAGTATATGTCATATTCATGTCTGTCATGGAACCTTTAATGAACAATATTATTGAGATAAGACCGGTGTTTTGTTTGTTTGTAAAAATGTGCCAGTCTATAAGCTTTTCGTAAATTCCAATTTCGTTGCCACATATAAAGAAAATTATTGATGTTAAACGTATGCTTCCAGTCACAATCCTTTCTGACTGTTTTTAACCAATCTGCTTTTCTGTATCTTTATATATACTGCCATTATAGGCACAATTTCAATTCGAAGTAATAATATCCAGTCTTTAATAGAAGTTTGTACACTATGCAAGCATGTCAATATATTCCTTCACCGGTATCACAGATCTAGTCTTACTTTTGAAAAATAAGATATATTTTTCTTTTAAATAATAACTCAGTCCCCACACAACTACTACTTAGCTTAATTTGCATTTCTTAAGTTTTTCTGTCCTGTGTTTAGGAGCTTGTACCTTTGCATATGCATTTTATATATAAGTGATCTACAAGCAGGTTCAACATGCAAGCTAATAAAGTTACATAAATCACTAGTTTGAGTGCAGGCACATAATTTCACAGGGTAGTAAGGGTTAATTATCACATGGATTAAGCTTACATACAAACTGATGTTAAACGTTCTAATATTCTAAGACACTGCTCACGTATTTATTTAAGACGATTTTCTCTTTCTGATTCTAGTGAAGTACATGAGATTAGTAAGTGTTCTATAGTCTCGTCCTCTTTATCACAGATTTTACAAGTGGAAGGTACCTCACATTTGTTGAATTTGGTTCTATGTGGTTGTATTATGTAATTTCCTGTTGCGATTTTTGTTTTAATAGGTATTCTGTTGATGTCTCTGCAGTTTGAGGTGTTTGTTGTAACGATTGGATGAATTGCTTTGATCTTATATGCACCTGTTATGTGTTGTATATTAAACTTGAATAACCCTCAAAGTTGTTATTTATTTTTCTTTTCACTCCAGTAAGTATCAACTTTCCATGTAATCAGATTTTTCCATTGGAATTTTCCAAGAGGATATGTTAAGAATATCTATCAGTCGGGCAAATCATATTTTAGGCATATTTTCTTTACTTCTTCAACCAGCTTTTACTTGTATATATGTGATTTTAATTGTAGCTGTCTTTCTGCCAATCTCCATTCAACTAATGTTTTGTTGGCTCTAGTGATGTTTCAGAATAGTGTTAGAGCGTTAAAGTGTATTCCAGCTTCAATTGGTAGCATTTCACTTATGTATATTGCCAAGTTAGCTGTTTGTTGAGACAATGAGAGTATTTGTTTTATAATGTTCTTATTGAATTGATGGATAGTATCAAAAATGCTGCCTGTTGGGAGAAGTATTTCCAAACCATAAGTCAGAATAGGCCTTATATATGTATTTAATAGAGTAATTACAGTTTCAGGATCTAGTCCATTCCTTTTATGTAAGCCTGCACCCATTAGACTGTATAATGATAGTCTTGCTTTCTTGATGTTTTCGTCTACAGTTAATTTTGCTGAGTTTTTCTAACACATTTGTATACCAATATGCAAGGAGTGTTCTACAGGGTTATTGTTTATATGCCAAAAATTGTCTTCTATTTCAATCGATCTTGATGAGGTGTTTATGGATAATATTATTCTTTTTGTTGGTTGTAAAGTGTATCCCTCTCTCTCTCTTACTAAAGTGACAGCAATGCATACTAGCATCTGATGCTCTCGTGGATTGTTTGCTATGAGAGCAACAACGTCAGCATATGTTGGAGCACAGCAGCTAATATTGCATATGTGTCCACCTATTCCTGTTTCACATAAGAGATTTAGTAGGGGATTCACATACAACTTGTATAAGTCGGCACTTATGGTACCACCTTAGCGTACACCCTGAAACAGGTATATATCAAAGACTTCTGAAGTTGTATTTTTCCATTTTATATAAATTATGTTGCATTTTTATATAGGCTATCTATCAAGATGATTGATTGATCAGAAATTCCTGTTTGGTATAATCTCTTTATTAGATTCGAATGTTTAACCACGTTAAATGTCGATTAGCCATATACATTCTAGTCCAAAAGATTTTTGTATAAGAAGTTGTAAATATTGTTGTAATTGTTTACCACCATATATATCTTTTCAGCATTTATACCGAAGTTGTCAGCAGCTTTATTCCTATTTAAACTTGATATTGCTTTTAAAATCTCTTTATAAGGTTGTGTTTGAAACGATCTTCCATATGTCAATTATCATTTTAGCATCTTTTCACTTTTTAACATCTTTTATACTTTACAAATTAACACTAATGTAGATATAAATTAACATAATTATAGATGAATGTCTGATTACATCAGCATATTCAAGTATAAGCTATTTTATAAATATGATAATATGTTTGTATATATTCCGTGAAAATCTGTAATCTTATAAAGACTTATAATAATGCATTTTAGAATATGAAGTCAAATTGATCGGTAGAAGTTTAAATGAAGGTCAACTTCGTATCGAGTATAACAATTCATGGTACAGTGTATGTAGTTTGTTGGGCAATTGGCAAGGGGTTAGACCTACAACCGCTGCAGTTGTATGCAGACAACTTGGATACACGTAAGTATATTGTAATGAATGAGATTTTATTAAAGTATTTTGGCTTATTTAGGGCGATTCGAGTAATCATATTTAAGTGATTTGAAAAAAAAATAAGAAACATTAATCTATCTATGTCGTGAACAAGTTAATTTGAAATGTCGTAATATATTAAACTTATTTGATTCGTTACTAAATGTATCAAAACTAGTTATGTTGAACATTTTAATCTCTATCTATCTTTTATCCGTTACGAATACAAAAAATGTAAATTTATGATATTTCAAATTTATTTAAGGTATCGTGTATAAAAGAAGTTGATTGTTTGTTAAATTGTTTTTTATATTTTTAAAGACAGACATTTAGCATATTGCTGTTTCAAAAGATGTCTTATTCAGCAGTAACAGAATATTTCATGTATTAAATTAACGAAAAATTTTAAATACTGTAGGAATGGCGGTGAATACAGATTCATAAACATTGATCAACCAGACTTGTGGATAGGTCTTGATTGTAATGGAAAAGAAATGAATGTTGGACAATGTAATTACTTAATGACACATACTTACTGTGGTCCAAGAGGTTACTTAAATGCTGTGTATATAAAATGTTACGAGATAGATGATGCGGGTTAGTAATACATTAAAGTATTAATCCATATATCGAAAATATCTCCCACACTTAAGTTAATATTCAATGAAATAACATTTAATTACAGAGTTTTATAGCAAATTACCAGTATAAGTTTGAAAATGGCAACATGGATGCAATCTGTGGCAGTTTGAAGCAATACATTATAGATATAAGAAGATGTAGTTTGAGTGCCAATGAGACAACTCTTAATCCAAGTCACAATTTTATATACAAGTCTTGCTTCCGACATTTCACATGTAATATGGTTTGGCGTTATCATCGAAATATTCACACAGCGTAAAAAAGCTCCTTTACATAAGAAGCATTCAATTTTTGTAACCTCATATGTATGCTACAGCCAATCTTTTCGTTTGTTTACCTATGCATTGTTGTGATATTGTCATGGATGGTACGTACAGTAAGGAAAGTTGCATTTTATTGGGATATGGAATATAATATTGAAATGCCTTGCGATGTTTTACTGTCAATAAAATTTACGAATTCGTACAATGTAAAGTAATCATTTATAAACACAAGAGTTATAGAAAGGAACAAAACGTGAGGTACTTTTCCACTGTTTCTTAACTTGTACAAATTAATTTGATAACTACCTTCAATTTGCGTACATTTTTATAATCCTGCAGTTTAATCTTCGCGATTAAGTTCCGACCTTATAGCGAGTTATCCAACGCAGTGATATGGACTATGATTAGTATACTCCATAACATAGCTCTGTTAAATACAGGCTCACTAATAAATATTGAAGTTTACTTCAAATATAATACTGACTGACAGATGATTTAGATCAGAACCATGTTAGTAGAGGCAGTGATGACTTAATCATAGACAGTTGCGATAATAAAGTTTTTTTTAAGTCATTAAACAATAAATAACGTTTATTTGTAGCAAATGATAGAATTTCAGCCTTGCCTTTACGTATTATTTTCGTTCTGCTACGCAAAAATTGGATACTTTCCGATTTATTGAGTTACCGTAATTATCCATTTGATCAATGTCATATAAATGTTGTTGATAAGGCATGTAACAAATAAAGCAAAAGTGTATTTGTATACCTGTTACTGACTGATTAAAGAATAACACAATATACATTTAAGGTAATCTTTACCTGTTCCTAGTCAGGTGCCCCGCCAGTAGATGTATTCAGTTATAGGTAATCTTTACCTGTTCCTAGTCAGGTGCCCCGCCAGTAGATGTATTCAGTTATAGGTAATCTTTACCTGTTCCTAGTCAGGAACCCCGCCAGTAGATGTATTCAGTTATATCTTATTGTTTATGTTCAACTGGTAATTGTGTGTTGTTGGCAGATACTAGTATTACGTTATTGTTGTTTGTGTGATTTTTTGTCGCACGTCTGGTATAGAACCTTCTCTGTATGTAAATGTGTTTCTTGTAATAAAAGTCCTAAACATTAGTTAATAAATGCATGAATACTGTTTTGATCAATTTTCAGATCGTCAGATGTCAACGCATATTGAAGATGATGGAAGAGCCCTTATTCATCGAAAAGGGATCTCATGGGAAATTTGCTCCAACACATGGGGGAAATAGAAGCGGATGCATTTTGTCGAATGTTAGTGAATAGGTTAGTTACTTTGACAAGCTTTGAACATATTGATGCTCTCCTTATATCCGTGGCATAAATGATAGTGTTTATTTATTATCATTTTAGTGATTTTATGTTTTTTTTTTCAGTGCTGGAGTTGAAACTTATCTACCGTATGGACGATTCCCACCTAGATCAGGAGTATATAATGTGATTTCCAATATGTTTTGTCCCCGAGGAACGCATCATCTGGGAGACTGTTTCTATGGTCCTAATCCATGGGAGCCTAGTATATGCAAAGCCACTGGTGAATACCGTGCTCAGCGTATTGTTGTGGGTGGTGTTTCATGCTCATGATAACATTAAAACGGACATCTCATTCTCTTTGATCATTATTAATTCAATGCATGTGAACTGTTTTGGCACAATGTCGAAATAATTTGCATATTAAATAACTTCATATTTACATTGTTCTTTATTCAAAAATGATGAAAAATAAACATCAAGGAGGAAACACCAGCTTCTTAAATTATTTAACTGTGATAAAACTAAGGATGAAATTCAACTACCAAAATAAAAGTTTACCCGAGATTTTGCTTTTCTGTTTTGAACCTTGTGGTTTTTGTCTCGGTTGACGGAGTCAAAAAGCGAGACATATGTATGCTGTCCGGAGTCGGCGACGACGACGGCAGCGGCGGCGGCGGCGTCGTCAACAATGTATTAGTTTCTGATTAGGTCTAGTTTGTGGTGAACCACAAGATGTAGGTCAATCATATTTGGTATACAGTTGTTTTAGCATTGACACATCTCATTTCAATGGAGATTATTTGGCCCTGTCTCCTCAGTCATGGTCTATTGACTTTGAAACTTTTGCTTAATTTTTATGCTTTAGTTTGTGATTAGGTCAATTTATGGGGAACCATTTGTGGTAGGTCAATGATATTTGGTATGCAGTTGTATTAGCATTGGCGCATCTCATTCACACGGAGATGGTTTAGCCATGTACCTCAATCATGGTTCATTGATTTTGAATATTAGCCTAACTTTTTAAGTATTGACATTTTAATTTCGACATTTGCATAACAAAATTACAAAAAAGCGAGACAAATCTCTGTGACAACAGTTTATTATGTTCTCAACTGAACCTGCCAAAGTTTATACCAGAAACAAACAAACCAAAAGTGTTATGCAAACGAAAACAAAATCACTTGTCATATATGTACCATTGTAAGCGGTCCGTGTAACACTTATAGATTTTTTATAGATTAGACCGTTGGTTTTCCTGTTTGAATGGTTTTACACTTGTCATTTTGGGGCCCTTTATAGCTTACTGCTTTGTGTGAGCCAAGGCTCTGTGTTGAAGGCCGTACGTTGACCTATAATTGTTTGCTTTTTATAAATTGTGACTTGGATGGAGAGTTGTCTTATTGGCACTCATACCACATCTTCGTATTTATATGTATTATCTTGCACATTATAATGTAATAATATGTAATCAACACTCAAGCATTTTCGCAAAGGTTTGCGTTATTTCATAAACATAGGGAAAAATGTGAAATTCAAATTAGTTTCTTTTTATTTTAATGTTCACGAAATATTTGAACAAATATCTTTAACTTAGTTCTCTTTGCATATTTTTTTTTTTTTACATTTATAACGAATCTATACCGTTTCATCTACACACAATATTTCATTCAGTGATAGTATATCTCAAGCTACTTCACGTTCGATTTTTTTCGCGAAGTTTACCGGACCGTGACATTGATAAACCATCAACATAGAAATATGGAACAAGTAACGTATCTATGGAAAGTGCTAATCTAGAAAACCGCTTCTTATGTAGAGCACTGAGCAGCGATAATCTATTTTGTAAACGAGATGTATTGGGGGAAAATCACAGACGAAAATCACATCTGTAAGAATAAAAGAAACTTTATCTGTAAATAATTGATTTCTTTTCTAAAACAACGAACGTATTAAACGGGACAAACATCTCGTGCACTGGGTACAGTTAATTCAAAGTATTATTTAGTTATTAGAGAAAATAGGCAAATTAGATAACATGAAACCTATTTGTACGATCTATAATTTTGAAGTGTAAAAATACTTTGATAATCATGTAGCAAAGACAGTGATGTACACTTTCAATATGTTCGATTGCATTTTAAGCCATACTTACGTGTAAAAGATTGAATATGCTATATTTTCTTATGTGAGTATGATATTTTTACTTATAAAATAGCGATACGTTTTTATAATGAACTTATAAATGCTATACTTTCTCATAGAATTGCTGTATTTTTCTCATATGAAATTAATTACGACAATATTGCAATATGCATTACAAACAAACAAGAAAAACCGATATTTATTCCTGACAGATTAGATCCAAGAGGCAAATCAATATGATCGCTTACCCTGACATTTTGTACATGGTATAAAAGCAGGAGATGGGGAATGATTACCAATGAAGCAACTAAAGCAAATTAAGGTAAATATAGGTCAAGAACTGCTTTCAGTAATGAGCAAATTCCATACCGTAAACAGTCAGCGATGAATGAATTCGACATGACAAAAATGCAAACAATTAAAAAATAAGTCTGATCTATGACAAAACATTCAACGAATAACAAATATAACAGACAGATAATAAAGACAAACACTGCATTATAATTCTTATATGATTTGCATATCTATAAATACTTGAAACGGATTGGTCAATTAGAATTTTTTACCTTGGTTTACACTTCGATAAACCATGTTTCCGAAACTACTTTCGTACCATCTATTCATGCGCGATACACATGCATATGCAGGGAGTCCGGGATTTTCAGCAAATTGAGATTGAAAAACAAAAACATAACAGTTTTTTTTTCTATTTTAATGCATATGTAACCAAAAAAACATTACATTAAAGCTTTGAAAATGCATAAAATTAAAATTCATGAAAAATTCTGCGAAATTTCATGAATGATTTAGCGCATTTACGTCATGGCAAAACACGACGTCATACAAATGAAAACTTTCAAGCGAAAGATTATTTCGTTACTTGTACGCTTCAAATTCGGATAATATCTCATTAAAATGCAGTTTTTGAGGTAGGTGCTATTTCATTTTAGATTCTGTTGCATTTATCGAATATTTACGGATTTTAGAAATTCAATATGGCGGCTAAATCCTTAGTTATGACATGTGCATTTGATGGTAGTAGCTATCAAACAAAAAATCTTAACTAAAAATCGCGAATGTTTGACTGAAGAATTATAAGGATTAAACACGTTTTTTCTAGAGGTTATTGATGTGTAAACCGGGGCTCTTACTCACAAACTTAACATAAAAGTCCTTCGGACTTTTATTCAGTTTGTGAGTTAATCGCCCCGGTTTACACATCAATAACCTCTAGAAAAAATGTGTTTAATCCTATAATAGGCTCCAAACATGGAACAGGTGCATAAAGAAGTTAAGCATATTTGATTAGAAAAGATCTTTGAACATTGTTTTCATTGGTATATATATATATATAAGCCTTATTTTGTTTTTTTTTCCTATTTTATGCACAGCGTGGACAAAGTTTAAAACTTTTTAATATATATATATATATATATATATTGATTTCTTATCAGTAGTTTAAAACCATACTAAATATTATTGTTTTATACACATATGCACTTTCACGGTACTACAATCTAAACCTATAGGTTTGCTTTACACTAAATTATTTAGATTTTGGATGTGTACTGATTGATATTTAGTCTACGCTACATTATTTTTCATTAGTTGTTATTAGGTTTGAACTAACTGTCGGTAACTGCGAGTATTTCCAGTTATGTAACACCACTGCTCCAGGTTAGGTGAGGGTTGATCGCTAAAAACATGGTTAATCCAGAAACATTCTTTTTGTGCCTGTCACTAGTCAGAAGCCTGTAGGTTAGTTTTTGTCGTTGGTTTATGTCTGTCATATTTGATTTTTGCATAAATTATTTTGTTATAAATAAGGCCGATAGTTTTCTCAATTAAATTGTTTCATATTTTTCATACGGTATAGGGCTTTCTCGTTGTTGAAGGCTGTACGGTTGCCTTTAACTGATAACAGTAACTTCATTTGAACTTTATGTTTATACTAGTATACGTCAATGGCTTAGTTTTACAATTTAATATGTGTACATAGAATTTCTTTAAAGGAAAATCCTATATTTTATCCAGATCTACAAACATGTTTTTTCATTCCGTTCGTTGAAATTTAAAAAAAAACGCCACTCCAGACAAGGACATAGCGAACAAGTTTGGGAAATGTATACGTCATGAGAAGGGTCAAAGAAACACCATGGCCCAAAAAGAGAAAACAAAAAAATCGTCTCACTTGACGTATGTTTTCTTTAGATATTCCAGTGTTTAATTGAAATATTTATATGAGGAAAAAGAATAGTTATTGGTCTTTATAACGATTATATTAATCAAATTCCCTTGGATGAATTTTAGTTGTGTAATAAGAGAATTCGTGATTATTAACGAGAAAATCAACATTAATCAATCTGATTAAAGTCAGATTGGTCGGAACTCGCTTGTTCGTCCAAACTCTTATGATATAACTATTGAGATTGGATAAATCCAATAATCCACGAGTACTTATGTGGAGCTTTATCAACCGAAAATTCTGAAAAAAAAATTGTTCAAAATAAGGCGTTTTGAACAATTTAACTTTTAATAATCAATCAATTTAAAGAAAATGAACTTATATCTTTCAAGAAAAAAAATAATATAGTTGATTAAGTGTCATCAAAAACGTATATTTGTGCTCGTAGAAATACTTTGTTATATGCAACTAACACACAATACACAAGTACAATATTTGTACTAATTGCATTCTATGGTTTCATAAGCAACAGTGCAGGGAGGAACCTTAGCATCATTGTTGTCACTGTTGTACAGATGTGTGCAGTTCTAATCTTTAAAAAGTTAACTTAGAGCTGACTTCTTGACTAAGGTTCATTGTTTACAACTGTTAGTAAGTTATGTATTTGAAGTTGGTTAAGAAAGAAAATAAACATTTTAATGATATATGATCTTATCACAAAAGCGCGGACTACTGGTCTGATGATACCCTCGGGTACAAGGCATACATGTGTTGTGAATGTTTATTTTTTAACAAATGATAGAAGACAATACAGGTCCCCATTAAAACCATCATTACACGCAAACACATCTGAAACGTACAAGATAAACAACAAACGAACAACACATTGTCTTTGTACATGGGTAAAAACATGTGCACATTGGTACACATATTCTGTTCCAACTATTAACACAATCTATCGTAATTAAAAAACACAATAAGGCACTTGTCATTTGGTCTTTTGTAGGGAGTGTATCATTGGCAATCATACCCCATCTTTTTATTTCTAAAAATTTCGAAAATAATGTCACTCCAGAGAAAACAAAAGTGTTAAAAAGTTTAATCAATACTAACTATCTTCATGAAATATCATAATAAAATTCAACTGAAATCAACAGTATTTGTAAGTGTTAATTAGAAAGCCTGATAAATTAATCAGGCTTTTGGAAGAAATAGTGATAGTTTATAGGGATTAATCTTCAAGTTTGGCATCTTCTAATAGTGCGAAATATCAACTTTTCTATTCATTGTTTCACCTCATTCTCTTTTGGGGACGACATTTCTCCAATTTTTTTAAGATACTCAATATGAAAAAAATATACGTCGAATTATGCCATAACGCATTACGTCCTGATTTCTGATATTTTCAAAACAGAAAATAATAATATATATTACAAACAAGAAAATAATTTCTTTAGCAAAATAATGTGACATTGTCACTTTTGTTCTCAGAAAACAGCACGGTAGGTATAGTGTCCGGCTAGGATCGTGTTTTTTCGAGTGATTTGATCGGTTTTTTTCGAATGTGACCACTTGTTTTGAGTGAATATGATCAAAGATGTAAACAAACAGATTTCCTTTCTGACAAGACGTGATATAGAAGCTTGAGTTTAAAATACAAGCTTATGCAAGGTATGCTTGTATTCGAATAAAAGATATTATCAATCCGACATTATTTTTCGTTAAAAAAGTTAAATTTAGCCTTACAATGCTTTTACTCCAAAATACAGAATAAAGCCATTTTTATACACATACCAATGCAAATGTCAACGGAAATGCATACATGGAATCTATATATCCTTAGATATACAGACACTTTACAACAATTCTTGTTTTTGCATTGAAAACGACATATCGAGACTAATTCATTTCTATATGTCCGGTTTTTTTCGAGTGCGTTCGTGTTTTATCGAGTGATTATACAAATTTAGGTTAAAATGTTATGTGTCAGTGTACAAAAAAACATGTTCAAATTAAGTACTTTTCAAGGCATGAAACCAATACATTCATCAGTTTGATAATGGTGTACTTACACTTGCATGTTATAAACAAGTATCGTTCATATATATATATATATATATATATAATGTTGTTTGTCACATTTTCTTACTTCTCCGGGGTTCACCACAAAAAATATTATTAACTGTAATAACAAAAGTATCATGAAATGAAGTTGAAAGGATCATGAGTCCCTCTGCACTATGTTCTTTAGACCGTTGTATAAAGGATCCAATAATTTCTAATCTAACACTGGAAAGTTGTGGTAGAACGTTTTCCGAACAGAAAATTTTTAATTACGTAGTAATATGTTTTGGTGATTTATTGGGAATATATGATATTGTCCTTCACTCAATTACAGTTATAAACTAGAAAAAGTCTTTTTGAAGCCAAGAATACTTTTTTCTTACTCAAATTTTCTTTAAAAAGCTCGGAACATTTGTTGAAAAACCCGGACGGTTTCACTGAACACATTGCTCTCGAAAAAAAAACAACCATATCAAACACTGATTTTTTATAGTATTCAAAATAAGATGGAGAGTCATGTAAAAAACTATTATAATTACGAAATAGCAGTTAATTGACCTTATCGCATGTTTTATTACTAAAAAAAAACCCGATCTACAGTCGAAAAAAGTGGACCGATTCACTCGAAAAACCACGATCCTAGCCGGACACTTTACCGACAGTGGAAAAGTATAAATTTAGTAAAATTGTATTTGTAAATGAAGTCTGGATAAATCTGATCGAACGTCAATGATAAGTAACGTTTTCAATAATTCCATTGATTTTCAGCAATGAACGGTAACTATCATTGCGTGCAGATATATGGAATCAAAAAATATTTGTTTCTTATGTGTAACAATGTCTGCATGAAAATAAGATTAGTCCGTAGTTTTATCATATTGAAAATAGTATATTGTATGAAAATATTACATATTACATAATATAGTCAGAAGTGGTTTATAGAAAAATGTGCTTTTTAAAAAATCTTTAATTCTATTCATCAATAAACTGATATTTACTTCCTAGTTTTGCAATGTCACCAAGTGATCAGGTAAGTGGTAATAATAAATGAAATATAAACACTAACATTTTGTTATTATATTACAATGATTCTTTTCCATTTTCATTTTTTTGTTTTATCAAACGTTGATTATTAATTATGTATACAAGTTTAATAATACAATACAATACCATACATTTTATTCCCAAGTTTGATGTGTCTGCAGTAGATTCCTGTCGCCATATTGTATCGATATTTATATTGTTTACGAAAATAGTCCAGAGGAAAATATCCTTAAAAACAGAAAACTACTAAAGTGACTCCCGGAAGTTGTTGTTTCCGTTCATTCCAAATGATTCTATCTATAAGAAGGCAAATGATATGTTAACTAAAATAGTTGTTGAAATCATTCTTAAATGTGTAGAAAATGTGACAATTTCCAAAATCAACATAATTAAACTAATGTAACGATTGACGTGACTGTATATAAAGCCAAAAGGACGACGGTTACGGGATTTTCCTTCAAATATTAAGAGAAAAAACGTACATCTCTATTTCATCGGTATGTTATTTCGAAATACATCTCCTGCCTATCAATTTTTTTTTTACCTCTGAGGACTCCGAACGAGAAGTTTCGGATTCTGAATATGGGATTTATATATCTATGATCGTTATCAGTAGGGTTAGTAGGATAACAACGATTATTAATTACGAAAGCAGTGCATTTAACGGGACAATTTTCCATTGATTTAATTTAGGACATTTTTGTGAAATTATAATCGTAATGTGAATATTTATCCATTACTTTAATTTATTGCCAAAGAGTAAATTATGATATGATAACATCCTTTTCTGTTTGGTTACTTAAGAAAGTGATTTATTCCTGGAAATTTTAATTATAGCAAGGAGACTAAAATTTTCCATCTCATATCTTGTTTCACTTCATAAGACTCACTTATACCCATGTCTTTATAGTTTACTTAATTTGTTGAAAGTGTGCATAGAATTGATAATGGAAATGGGAAATGTGTCAAAGAGACACCAACCCGACCAAAGAGTAAAAAACAACCGAATGCCACCAATGGGTCTCCAACGCAGCTAGAAAACCATGCACCCGAAGGCGTTCTTCGGCTGACCCCTAAACAAATTGTTTTCTAGTTCAGTGATAATGAATGCCATACTCTAAAACCATATAGATGAACTGAAATTAAAAATCATACAAGACTAACAAAGGCCAGAGGCTCCTGACTTGAGACAGCCGCAAAAATGCGACGAGGTTAAACATGTTTTGTGAGATCTCAACCCTCCCCATTATACCTCTATCCAATGTAGAAAAAACAAACACAAAGCAATACGTACAGTAAAACTCAATTTAAAAGAATTCGAGTCCGATGTCAGAATAGGTAACAAAAGAAACTAAGCAAAATGACAATAATACATAATTGGTAAAGGACTACAAGCAGTTACTGACATGCCAGCTCCAGACCTAAATTAAACTGATTAAAGGAATATGTCTTCATCATATGAAAATCAAGCATAATCCCTCCCGTTAGGGGTTTACTATCATACCATCATAAAATATGTGAGAAGACCAGAACACGCATCATGCCTACAATCTGTTTATGTTATAGAGAAAGTCGAAATAACTTTTCATTCCTGGGAAAAAATGGAGCGGAGTCCCTTAGGGCCGACGCCCATTATTTCCCAGGAATGGACAGTTATTTGGACTTTCGCTAACTTAAAATACACCTTAAATATTAAAAACGAATCTTCAGATTATATCATTTTAAAGAATTTTATTTAATTTTGTAATGGTTTTCTTTTCATTTTCCCCGTGTTGTATCCAAGAATCCGCAGGCAAAATTTATGATCAAGCTGACCATCTACTCACTTAACGAAGTATTTATTAGCAGCAGAATAATTACTATAAAAATATCTTGAATAAAGTTCATTCAGATTTATGTTTAAAGTCATTGGATACGCACGTCTTTCTTGCAGTGGGATTGAAAGGATATTCATTTGTGTCTTTATGTGGTATTTCGGGAAGGTTAAAACAAAACTAGTATTTATGCATATATGTTAAAAGATTATATGTGTTTTTCGTTTGATAAATATTGGATGTAGAATCGCCTGAGAAAAGTGAAATGGTACAACTAGAATGAATTTTCAGGTATGTAACACTCAAGAAAAGGTTATTTAACTAAAAACGGTGTGCTCGATTTTAACTCATATCGAAAACAAATTGTGATTCTATATTTCAAACCATTGTATTCGATGAAATAAAATGAAACAAGAAAACAGTATTTCATGCACAACACAACATTTGTCGTTCCCTTTGCTATTACAACGAACAAAACTTGTATGCATTTTTTCTTAAATAGCAATACAAGCAAACTGAAAGTATGTTTCATTCTTCATTATTATCAGAAAGGAATAAAAAAAGTTTTAGAAAAAAAAATCCGCATGATGAAAAAACATTTCTGGGTTCCGTTTTGTATGTATTTAACTTAAGTCGACAACAGTCTACCTTTTAATTTCATTCAAACATTTATTTCAAGATTAACGCCGTATATTTGCACTGTTGATATAACTGTTATATTTGCCACTGGACATGTAACAACAGTGAATGAATTCGATTATGGTACGCGTTTCTGTTGAAAATTGATTAAAAAACCCGCCTAATATTTAACACAAGCCTTATCCAAATGTTATCCATACCCCCTCAAATTTTATTCATAAGTACTATATTTAAATTATAACAACGAACAATCAAATAAAATACCGAATACGCCATTTTGACCATTTCAGTTTCTTGGACTTTTTATTCTATTAAACCACAATATTATTGTAGAAACATTCTGAGTGATTTTTTGTGTTTTTAATTTATATATATAAAAATGCAACAAACGATTTTTGCTGTGCAAAATCAAAATATTTCAAGGAAATGATATATTAAAAGGTAAACTTAAAATCAAATCTTTATGTGAAATATTTTTTCTCTTACTTTCATTATTGAATAATGTTAATGTGTTCAATATTACAATAGAATTCACTGACTCACACACAGCTAACACATTTGATATTTTGTAGATGCACAGAAGAGGAATGGGATATTCAATGGAAAATATTCGTGTTTACCCACTTGGATACTATCCATGACAAAAATTCAACCATGGTTTGCATCGGAAAACAAATTGTGGATTATATTGTTGAATTTCAGTGAATACGATACTATATTTTACAAGATGGAATTACGACTCGCAAATAAAAGCTGTTTGTTAATAATGAGATATTTCGTGTTCATTGTATTACTACGATCCCAATTTATAAAAACCCAGTATCAGTCGTTTTAGTAAGATTTCATCTTCACTCAATATCGCGTTCCGTCCTCTAGAATTATTCCCATGGGTGAACACTTTTTAAGAAAGTGCCCATGGAAATATCCAAAGGGCAAAACGTCCGGATGAATGATGACGAACAATAGAAAATAACTCTCGATTCCTGAAAAATAATGGAGAGTTTGAATAAAGATTTACGTCACAGGTGTATTTTAATTCCGATGCAAGACCCTATGAGTGAATCAATATTAATACAAAAGTTAGCTATATATATAGTATATTTCATAATATTTAACTATACTGTATGTACTATCAACTACATGAAATGAAGGTGTCTTTGTTCCTGATTGTCTGTGATGTATATTTACACAGTTATGACTGCTGGTTCCAAGTTATTCTCACGTTAATCGAGACCAATTATGCCTGTTTTGACAGCTCACTCAATTTTGTCAATATAACAGAATTTCAAATAAGTGGGAGGATTAGCTAGCTATGAAACTAGGTGCAACCCTCACTTTAAAAAAAATCCTGTACCTTGTCCGGAATACGACTGTGGTTTTCTATTCAATCTATTTGTTATCATAGTCGATCGTTCGATCTTGTCAGGCTTCATCAACCTTTTTTTAATTTACCTTGGAGTTTGGTTTTTTGCCTTGTGTTAAATGGAAGACGTTGCTAAATATCAACAACCTATATTTATTAATACAAGTTTAATCAAAATCAATTATTCATGAATAGTGTGTTTTTTGTGAATGTTGAAGAATGACAACTGCAAAATCTGGGTAGCAAGACTGTTTACTTTAATAATCAGCGGATTAATAATGTAAATTATGTTTTACCTCTACTGTTGGACATGTATATATTACAAATTTCAGGAATATGGTAGCCGTTTTCCATTCGTTTGAAGTGTTTGAGTTTTTGATTTTTCCATTTGATCAAAGTCATTCTGTTTTGAGTTTTCCTTGGAGTTCATTATTTGTGTTATTATGCATGGCTTACACTAAAATATTTATCATACTAAATTAAGCAATAATAGTGTAATAACAAAATTGTGAAGTTGGATCAAGATATTTTCTTAATGTCAATTTCAATGGGGTTATTTTCAAACGCACAACTGATTAAAATTTGTGTTCCATGAATTCAAGAGACAGACGCGCGCGGCTCTGTAACGGACGCAGGTTTAATAAAAAATAAAAGTACTTTTTCTGGTCGACTATTCACAACAGGCGGGTGGTCTGACGAACAAGGTATTACTTTGGCGTGGCCTTATACTTTTTACACGTTGCTTAATTATCATCATCTGATATTAAGAATATTCTTTCTTCTATAGCATAATTATGGTTATTGCAAAAATTGTCTTTATCTTTTCCTTTAAAAGGAGGAATTTATTATTTTCAAGTAGCACTGTTGCTTGGTAAATGTCAACAACAATTACTTCCTTTAAGGCTGCTGTGACCTTTAAAGGGTCATGAACAAAACATTTCAAAACAAATGCACTATTTTTCCTTCTATGATAGAGAACGCCAAATATTCTTAATATCAAAGTGAAAGGGACACAACACTTTTAGATGATCATTCAGGTACAAAGCTTATAGTTGAAATGCTTGCCAAAAAAGCACTTGGGAATATAATTACTCAAATGCATTATAACAAAGACTTCCGATAAAACCATATGGACGCTTGTTTAACTCTAGTACTGTTTATGTACTTGATTATTCTTCTGGCTTAAATGGATATAAAATCTATCAATTAGTGGACAATATTCAGAATCGACTTATGCTACTATAGGAGACCTCATATTTGCACTTATCGTATCGTTTTTACTAATGTGCTTTGTCTAATATATGCCTTCTTTGTTTTATTTTTATCTTTTTTATCTTTGTCGACATATTTGCATGTTTTATAGTGATTAAGGTTATAACACATCATTACATTGGTTGCACTGATTTACACTGACTTCCCACTGAAATAAAAACCGATAATTCCACATGTGAAATAAACTCTTTGACGTCATATAACAAAAGGCGTTGTCAAGACGTTGTCGATAACGTAGGATCAAAACGAATTGGGAATGCATAGAAAAAGATATAGTTCCTTACATTTTCTAATTTCATAAAAAAAATCCATTTGCCAATGTTGACTGCTGGACCTATATTTTTCACAGTTTTAAGAAGGGATATAGTTACGATACTGTTGTCAGGTCATTAAAGATTGCATATTTTGGCGTTAATATTGATTCACTTATAGGGTCTTTGCATCGGCACTAAACACATTTATTTAAAAACCAGTTGTTGGCATGACACGGGTTATGTTCTTCTCATATATGTTATGATGGTATGATACTAAACCCCTAACGGGAAGGATTGTGCCTGATATTCATATGATGAAGACATAATCTTTCAATCAGTTTAATTGAAGTCTGGAGCTGGCATGTCAGTTAACTGCTAGTAGTCTGTTGTTATTTATGTATTATTGTCATTTTGTTTATTTTCTTTGGTTACATCTTCTGACATCAGACTCGGACTTCTCTTGAACTGAATTTTAATGTGCGTATTGTTATGCGTTTACTTTTCTACATTGGCTAGAGGTATAGGGGGAAGGTTGAGATCTCATAAACATGTTTAACCCCGCCGCATTTTTGCGACTGTCCCAAGTCAGGAGCCTCTAGCCTTTGTTAGTCTTGTATTATTTTTAATTTTAGTTTCTTGTGTACAATTTGGAGTTTAGTATGGCGTTCATTATCACTGAACTAGTATATATATTTGTTTAGGGGCCAGCTGAAGGACGCCTCCGGGTGCGGGAATTTCTCGCTGCATTGAAGACCTGTTGGTGGCCTTCTGCTGTTGTCTGTTCTGTGGTCGGGTTGTTGTCTCTTTGACACATTCCCCATTTCCATTCTCAATTTTATTACCTGTTATGTTTTGTTTGTTTTGTTCACACATCGTTGTTTATATAATGGATTTGTATGCAACTGTCATACAAGTAAGAGGTTTACCTATATATAAATCCAGGTTTAATCCACCATTTTCTACTTTAAGAAAATGCCTGTCCCGAGTCAGATATATGGCAATTGTTATCCATTCGTTTGATGTGTATGAGCATTTGATTTTGCCATCTGCTTAGGGACTTTCCTCGGAGTTGGGCATTTTTGTTATTTTACTTCTTTATTAATACGGAAATATTTGTTGGATATGAGTCCGTATCGGGGTTAGAATAATATGGTAAGATATGGGATAGTTTTTTCCGATTTGATAGAAACTGCATCACCAAACTGTCATTTAATATTGACTTTTTAGGAACTTAAATCTTTAATAATCTAATTGCTTACTTTAAAATATGCCATTTTGTCTGTGTTCCTTTGTAGATATATTGGTTATATAAAAGTATTCATAGTCATGGAAGGAACATCCATAAAAATGAGAACAGAAGTTGAAGCTGAGAATGTCAGACCACCAAAAAATACACTTTCTCCGTTTAACTTCCAGGATTTTACCGTTGAAATTGGCAATGAAAAGATTTCTGTCAAAAATAATATGTGTCGCTTTTATTCCGATAACGGGGGAATTCCCTGTAAAACGTGTCAAAAACACGAAAAATAAAGGAACAATTAAATATTTTTTTAAATTGATAACTATATTAAATTGAACTTTAGTAAAATTGAGTTATCATACTTGGCCTATTTCAGAAGCAGTATTCTACCAATAAGAGATGAAACTGGAAAGTATTTAAACGAAACATCTAGGAGAAAGACTATGCACATTTTGTAACAATCGAGAAACCGAGAGTCTCAATTTGCCTTTGACTTACATATTAGTGAACTTTTAAATGAACACAGCTGCTCAGATTTAAATCATGCTGAAAAATTTGAATTTTTAATGAAAAATTAACAAAATATTTAGTTCTTGCGTATGGTATAGAACGTCAGGTGATATATAATCCATTGCTTTAATCTAAATATTTAAACACACAACTTTTTATTTTTTTGAGAAATATTATACATTTTTTTAACATGTAGACTATAAAACTTACGTGTAGACCATAAAACAGTGAACACTTAATAAAGTGAAATTATTGACATATAGGTCCCACGGAACTAGTGCAACATTGCATTATGTTTATTGGTATATGTTCACACTTCACTTTAATAATATAATTGTTTACTTTAAAATATACCATTTTGTCTGTGTTCCTTTGTAGATATATTGGTTATATAAAAGTATTCATATTCATGGAAGGGACATCCAAAAAAATGAGAACAGAAGTTGAAGCTGAGAATGTCAGACCACCAAAAAATACATTCTCTCCGTTTAACTTCCAGGATTTAACCATTGAAATTGGCAATGAAAAGATTTTTGTCAACAAAGACAATTTAATGGAGGCGTCACCAGTTTTCCAGAAAATGCTTACTGGAAACTTAAAGGAAAAAGACGCACATCACATTAAACTTCCAGATAAAGACCCAACGACGTTTGCTATTTTTCTAAGACACACATTACCTGGTTTTGATGGATTAGAATTGCAAGGTATAACTTTAACATATTGTTTGGAATAAAAGACGACAAAACCAAACTTCTTCGTGAAATTATGTATTTTATTTCAGAATATTTCTAATGTGGTAAGTTACTGAAAATCTTCATGTTATATTTACCCGGAGACAAATTAAGACATTGAAATCTCAAATTATCAATATTTCGTTAAAATATAAGTTGTTACTTTTTTGTTCTTTCTGCACTTGATTAAGCCTACTTACATTTTACTCGAACCGTTTCAGTACTCTTCACATCATCAAAAAGAATTTCAACTGCAAGAAAAAAGCATGTTCTACAGTTTGTCAATCGTCAAATTTGGTTTTGAATAAATAATTCATTTGTTGCTTAGTGCAACTATTGTTCCTTTGAAAAAGCTATATATACCATAAACTCATGTTCATCATCATATATATATATATTAATAGCACCTTTTATTTTCTCACTCACTATGATATCTATCATTTCGTTTTTGTCTTAAAAGATAAAAATAAAAGTACCACCAAATCATAAACATATTATCTTCTTACAGAAGCGACAGCTCACCCTATTTAACCATTGGCGCATGAGTATCAGACTAACACAACTCTATCAAAAATAGACCTAGTATTGGCTGCATGTGTGGAACAAAGGGAATATAAATGTGACAAAAAGTTAAGTGATGAAATTTTGACTGCTGAATTCTACAATCTGCAACAATATGTAACAGCATGCATTGAAAAGTCATCAGTATTCTCCCATAAAGCGTTGATAAAAAACCCAGTTTCATGATAATTCTGGTGATAAAAAATCTGAGATATTCTTGAATCTGTGTAAACAAATGGAAGTACGGAGTGACCAATGCGTTCAGGAGATGGAAGTACGGATTGACCAATTCATTCAGGAGATGGAAGTAAATGCAAAACCTAGTTGTGGGTATTGTAATAGTAGCAGAAAGTTTGTTGAAGCTAGCAATAAACTCAAATTAATTAGAAAAGCTAGCGGTCCCCGATTCTGGTTATTAAAGTGATTTAAGCTGATATGAAAAAAGATTTTACAATACTTTTTATCATTGACACTACAATTAAACACGCAAACGAAATGAAAAAGCAAATACATGTAAAGTATTTTAGAGTTAAGAATAGGAGTGTTGCTTGATAAGCATAAGATTCCATGTCTTATATTACTAGTCGATTTTTAAAAAATCGTTTCATATGCTAGAATTACAATATATTCCAATAACAACTATATTCCAGAAAATTTTTGAATGCAAATGTTTATTTGGTGTTATTAATTCTTATAATTTCAAATTATTGTATTCTTCATTCAAAATATTACATTAACTATGTAAAGATCACACACTTTTAACCTTTCTTAAGATCACACAATTAAACCCCCAAAAAAGATCTTTTTACAAAAATGTTTATTATCCATAGAAAAACAGGTGATGTAAATAAAACATACTGAATGTGTTTGGCATGATTCAACCACAAGGTTCAAAACAATAGGTTGAATGGTACTGCTAAATAAAATTCTACCGTCAGGTCAAATAGAAAAATTCTGATTCGTACTTTGCGGTACTGATTTTGGATATAGCTGTTTTAAAATGCTACATGCATTGCATATTACTTTATAGCAAAGTTATTCTAAGAATATTTAGTTTTTGTTTATAATATATTGTATGAACGACTGAATGAATGGATTAATCTCACGAGCTTTAATTAAAACAATTACCAGTAAAAAAGTTATGTTGAATAGACTTGAATAATTCTAATAAATCTTTGTTTTTCTTGAAAGACGTAATTTGACAAATATAATTATGGATTGGTTTTATCGGTGTTTTTTTTTCGAACAATAATAATTTGCTAAACAATATTTTGATATTCAATGCAAATCAAGACATATCTAAGTGATATTTGTTACGGTCTCGTTCGACTCACCAATGTGTCATTTTTTTAAGATTCATGCCACTTTATTGTCATAATCTGCAAGAATTGACTCCAACACCCGCACTCATATTAAACATTTAATAAATAAAACACATGTAGTAAACGAAAATAGCATGTATAAATTGTGTGCGTCTGAGGCTCTTTTCTGAATGTATCTTCTTCTGGAACGCTCTTAACTACACATCCGAATGTCTCTTTGGTATCTTTTGCCTTTATTTGAAAGCTACAAAACTGCTATCAAAAAAATTTTTAATCCATGCTTGTGATTTTTTTATTTTTCGCCTGTGAAACCCTCAGAATGTAATTTACATCCAACAATTCTTTTGAGAATGGTCGATCAATTCTCTCATTAAAATCATAAGAATTTTCAGATAAAGATTTACGACGACCGTTTTTATTATACAACGGTGTATGTCCCGGTAGTAAAAGTAATTTGACCTGTCTGATCTCTAAATGTTTTCAATATCACCCCGATTTTCATTTCTCTTCACAAAACTGTATACGGTACTCTGTTTGGTGCATTTTCATTTGACAATATCATTTTGTTTTATAATCTTCATCATTTTTTTCCGATCAGATGTTAGTTCTTTTTCCATTTGACCCGTTTAAAAGAGGGACGAAAGATACCAGAGGGACAGTCAAACTCATAGATCGAAAACAAACTGACAACGTCATGGCCAAAAATAAAAAAAACAAACAGACAAATAATAGTACAGATGACACAACATAGAAAACTAAAGACTAAGCAACACGAACCCCACCAAAAACTGGGGGTGATCTCAGGTGCTCCGGAAGGGTAAGCAGATCCTGCTCCACATGTGGCACCCGTCGAGTTGCTTATGTTATTACAAATCCGGTAAATAGTCTAATTCGGTAAGTCACATTCGTGAAAAGGGAAGGGTATTGTAGTTACGACATAAGGAACATATCCGATATCATCTGTGAAACGGTTATTCCATAACGGTCAACCAACTCGTGATGGCGTCCGTAAAATTTATGAAGGGATGACTACAACTTCACCATTTGGAACTCTTGGTTTAATAGCTTCCTTGTGAGCAGCAATCCTCTATCAAGGAAATCATGATAGGAAACACAAGCCCGGGAATATCGTATCAATTGGGAGATATATACTCCGTATGCAGGCGCTGCTGGAATGTTGCTACATAGAAATGGAAAGTTCACAATAGGGAAGCTGAAATCATCTCTTTTGTCGTAAAGTTTTGTTTTCAACCGACCCTCATTGTCAATTTCTAGATGTAAGTCAAGATATGAGGCAGACTTAACTGTATCTGTAGTATCCTTTATCTCTAGTTCGATGGGATAGATTTGTTCAACATAGTCACCAAATTTTGTATTATTTAGTGAGAGAACATCATCTATATAGCGGAACGTAGAGTTAAAGGATATTGCTAACTTCTTATCTCTCTTCCTAAGAAGCTACTGTATGAAGTCAGCCTCATAATAATAAAGAAACAAGTCGGCAAGAAGAGGGGCACAATTGGTTCCCATTAATATACGTCAACTACAACGTAAATATAGACGACTGTAACGTCATCATGCACGTGTTACATAACAATCTCATGCCTTTTACAGATCTACCTATATATATAGATTCATATTCATCCCGATTGTGCCCTGGAGACCACGGTAAAAACTTGTTTACCATTCTGTGTCGTGACCGCAAACGAATATTTATGGTGGACTTCTGTAAAATAAGTAGTATTTTAGAGCTTGTTATTTTAAAACAGAGGCGCATCATCCTTAAGGCATACTAATATGAATCTTTATTTTCCAATTAATTTTTACAATATATGGTAAATTCATTTAATATAGACAGAAAATCATTACAGTTTTTACAAATAAAGCAGTATCATCAGCTAATAAAACAAAATGTTACCCGACAGGGTGGTACTATTAGTTACATGGTGTACTAATGACCTAAAACGATATATATATATATACCTCATATATATATTTACATATATAAGGTATATATATATGGGGTCAGCTAATTCCATTACCGACTATCTAGTTAGGGGAAGGGTTGGGATCCCGCTAACATTCTGTATGCATGTGCCTGTCCCAAGTCAGGAGCCTGTAATTCAGTGGTTGTCGTTTGTTTATGTGTTACATATTTGTTATTCGTTCATTTTTTGTACATAAATTAGGCCGTTAGTTTTCTCGTTTGAATTGTTTTACATTGTCATTTCGGGGCCTTTTACAGCTGACCGTGCGGTATGGGCTTTGCTCATTGTTGAAGGCCGTACTGTGACCTATAGTTGTTAATTTCTGTGTCATTTGGTCTCTTGTGGAGAGTTGTCTCATTGGCAATCATACCACATCTTCTTTTTTTATATCTAAACATGTGGTATTTAGACTCGTCTATAAGCCTACCAAAGTGATCAAGTCTTCAATACGGTTAGTTTTAAAAACCTACTTCTATTGGTCTATACAAAAAGAAATGACAACAATAACATTTTGTTAGCTTAAAATGTGTTTTAAGATTTTATTTCAATCGTTCATCATCAATTTCTTCGTCTGGTAACACCTTTAAGACTTTTCCCCAACACCGTATTTTTTTTATAAAGGGACGTAACATCACTCCTAACGGTGTATTGAAATAAGCTCCTACTAACCCAATATGGAATACATACGGTCTCCACGCGGTTGCTTTTAACCAATCATAGAAATGTACAGAAGGTAAGATAAAATAAGTTCTTTTCAAAAGATTTATATAAAATCATATTCAGTGCACATATTCATACGCGTTTTTCATTATGAATAAAATGCCAATTATGCTTTATTCAATTTAGATAATTAAAAAAAGGAAATGTAGGATCAAAGTTAAGCTGTTTTTTCTAAACCTGCTTTATCTTTATTTATGGAAAACAATTTCAACATTTAACGCAATATCTGTCATTTATCATAAAGTTTAACAGTTCATCAATTGTTGACAAAGGAATAATTGGTTCATAGATTTGTTGATTCGTTTTCATTGCTATTGCGTTTGTATTATGAAAGTGTTATATGATCTAGTAACCATGCATTAAAAAATGTAGATTCAGGCATTAGTTCACATTTTTTTTTCAAAATCAATTATGAAAAATCATTAACTTAAAAAAAAGAACATGATGCATGATTGAAAATCTCACAACTATTCATACCCCAAAGGGACACAGATGTAAACAATTAAAGATCACCGTTACGACATTCCACATTTCAAACCTCATGCTGTTTTTTTAGGTATGACAAAGTGGCCTTTCAATCTGTCGATAGCTATATCTAGGCATTGCACAAGGTCATGTTTTTCCCTGCCTGTTAATGTAACTAGCTTCTTTTTGTTGTGGGGATGTTTAAGTACCCTGTCACGTCCACTATGTGTTTTTCAACTGTTTTTTCTAGTATGTTCTTATGTTGTATTGTAACACCACTGTCACAGGTTAGGGTAAGTGTTGGCGACTTATAATAACTGTAACTCCACCACATTATTTATGTACCTGTCCCAAGTCAGGGGTAGTAATTCAGTAGTTGTCGTTTGTTGCTATGTATCATATTTATTTTTCGTTTAGTTATATGTACATAAATTATGCCGTTAGTTTTCCCGTTTGATTTGTGTTACATTTGTCATTTAGAGGCTTTTTGAAGCTTATTATGTGGAATGTGTTTTGCTAATTTTAAAAGGCCGCACGGTGACCTATGGCTGTTATTTTCACGACACTTACCAAAGAGGAAATCCTGGATAATCATAAGTCTGTTCTATGTTCCTTTGGAATTTCAACCAAAGATGAAGAACTGGATCTTCCATCACTGTATTTGATACCTCAACTACATAAGTGTCCTTACAAACAGCGGTATATTGTTGGGTCTTTCAAGTGCTCCACGAAACCTCTTTCTAAATTATTAACATTTATTTTATCAGCAATCAAAGCAGGGCATCAAAGTTATTGTGTAACTGCTTATTCTAGAGGTGGCGTGAATCAGATGTGGTTACTAAAAAATTCCAAAGATCTTTAAGAGTACATACAATCTAAAACTCTCTCATCTTGCAATAGTATTAGCACATTTGACTTTAATACACTTTACACAAGTATTCCCCATTCCAAACTAAAAGACAAATTGAAAGAGTTGTTATTGCTTTGTTTCATAAAAAAAAAAGAATAGCCAGCGTAGATACAAGTATCTTGTCTTGGGGAGGGATACATCCTACTTTGTAAAGATTCACTCTGATTCAAACAAAAAATTCTCTGAAACTGACACTATCAAGATGCTTGATTTCTTGATTGACAACATATTTGTTACGTTTGGAGGACGTGTTTTTCAAAAGACTGTCGGAATTCCAATGGGAACCAATTGTGCAACTCTTCTTGTCAACTTGTTTCTTTATTAATATGAGACTGACTTCATACAAGAACTTCTTAGGAAGAAAGATAAGAAGTTAGCAATATCCTTTAACTTTACGTTCCGCTATATAAATGATGTTCTCTCACTAAATAATACAAAATTTGGTGACTATGTTGAACAAATCTATCCCATCGAACTAGAGATAAAGGACACTACAGTTAAGTGTGCCTCATTTCCTGACTTACATCTAGAAATTGACAATGAGGGTCAGTTGAAAACAAAACTTTACGACAAAAGAGATTATTTCAGCTTCTCAATTGTGAACTTTCCATTTCTATGTAGCAACATTCCAGCAGCGCCTGCATACAGAGTATATATCTCCTAATTGATACGATATTCCCGGGCTTGTATTTCGTATCATGATTTCCTTGATAGAGGGTTGCTGCTCACAAGGAAGCTATTAAAACAAGACTTCCAAATGGTGAAATTGAAATCATCCCTTCATAAACTTTACGGACGCCATCACGAGTTGGTTGACCGTTATTGAATAACCGTTTTACAGATGATATCAGATATGTTCCTTATGTCGTAACTAAAATACCCTTCCCTTTTCATGAATGTGACTTACCGAATTAGACTATTTACCGGATTTGTAATAACATAAGCAACACGACAGGTCCAACATGTGGAGCAGGATCTGCTTACTCTTCCGGAGCACCTACGATCACCCCCTGTTTTGGTAGAGTTCTTGTTGCTTAGTCTTTAGTTTTCTATGTTGTGTCATCTGTACTATTATTTGTCTGTTTGTCTTTTTATTTTTTTAGCCATGGCGTTTTCAGTTTATTTTCAATCTATGAGTTTGACTGTCCCTCTGGTGTCGTTCGATCCTCTTTTGT